ACACTTTGAAATCATAAGCCCTCAACCCCCGCGCCCATATGTGTAGCAGCAAGCCCGAGCAGACTAAGACATGCTCAGCCCGGAAACAACCCAACCAATCCAACCGACAGCCAGGGGTTTAGGGTGCACAGGGTTTAGGGTTTAGGGTTTAGGGTTTAGGGTTTAGGGTTTAGGGTTTAGGGTTTAGGGTTTAGGGCTGAGCTGTTGATCGCACCCCTTTTGCAGGCCCATATGCTCGCGCGAGAGCGAGGTTGCTCACAGCAGCCTCCCCAGCACATGGCGTCTCGGGGGTTCCGGACTTTGGAGCATTTTTTGGGTCGTTGGAGGATGTCGTCGGCAAAGTTGGTGTAGGCTTTAGCATCAGGGGCGCATTGGGTTTAAGGGTGATTCGAAGTTAGAATCCCCTAGCTCTTATACCCAGAGCCCCTAGACCCGTGAAGCCGAGCCCCTTATACAGAACCTGAACCTTGCGAGCTCTATCTTCCTGCTTTAGGGTTTAGGGTTTAGGGTTTTCGGACTTATAGCACCTACTGCCCTACTTCCCTGCTTTACGCCACCATCGAAGGTTGGAACCCTGAGCCCTCAGCGTGGTCCTTGTTCGGTTTAGGGTTTAGGGTTTAGGGTTTAGGGTTTAGGGTTTAGGGTTTAGGGTTTAGGGTTTAGGGTTTAGGGATACGAAGTCTCGGCCCGTATGAGTGTATGGTGTATAGAAGGGGTACGTAGCAAGGCACCCAAGGGCCCCTACTTCGGATCCCCCAAACCCCAAACCCCAAACCCCAAACCCCAAACCCTAAACCCTAAACCCTAAACCCCTAAACCCCAAACCCCAACCCCAAACCCTAAACCCTAAACCCTAAACCCCAAACCCTAAACCCCAAACCCTAAACCCTAAGCCCTAAACCCTATTCCGAGGTCACCCCATGGGCATGATGCTCTCGCAGCTGGCTCCGCCACCTCGCTGCTGGGACGACCGGGGCCTGCAGGCGGGGTTTCTACTAGGGTTTAGGGTTTAGGGTTTGGGGTTTAGGGCTTAGGGTTTAGGGTTTTGGGGTTTTGGGGTTTTGGGGTTTTGGGGTTTTGGGGTTTTGGGGTTTTGGGGTTTGGGGTTTTGGGGTTCAGGGGTTCAGGGGTTCAGGGGTTCAGGGGTTCAGGGGTTCAGGGGTTCAGGGGTTTAGGGGTTTAGGGTTTAGGGTTTAGGGTTTCGGGTTTCTGTACCTGTATCGGGTCCTAACAGGAACCTCAACAAACCTCTCTGCCCCTGCGAGCCCCTTCGCATGCTACGGGTTTGCAATACGGCTGCAACCCCAACTAAGGCCCATCTGACCCTAACCCTAAACCCTGCAGGTAGAGAGAGGTAGGATCTGGTAGGGCTCTTTGAACCTTTTAGGGTTTGGTCTTTTCAGGCCTCGGATCGTGGAGGATTCGACGACTTCATAGCTGGTTCGGGATTCAGCTGGGAGTTGTTCTCTATTATATATGGTCAGTTCTCTCAAGCAGGTTCCCTATTCGCAACCCGAAAAGCGACCATAGTTTAGAGAAGTGACCGCATGACCGCATCTCGGCTTGGAAAGTAGTCCTCAGCTTCCAACGCCTCTTGAACCCAAACCTACTCGAGTTGGCACCTGTTTGTGGGCTGAGGGTTTTGTAGTATCGGGCATAGACTGGAGTTCTATCCCGAAACCGTAAACCCCAAGCCCGAACCCTAAGCCACAAACCCTAAACCCTAAACCCTAAACCCTAAACCCTAAACCCTAAACCCTAAACCCTAAACCCTGGAGCGCTTCGAGGTGCTGGAGTTGGAGGGTTGCAGCAAACCTGCCTTAGGCAGGGCTGAGTTGAAAGTTTGGGGTTCAGGGTTAGGGGTTTAGGGTTAGGGTTTAGGGATTAGGGTTTGGGGTTAGGGTTTAGGGTTTGGGGTCTAGGGAGGGTTAGGGAGTTTGGTCTCTGGGAGGCTTCGGGTTTTGGGAAAGTGCGACAGTTCTCATTCGGGTAGTTTAGGGAAAGGGGCTCAGGGTTCAGGTTGTTAGAATTGATTGGGTTTAGGGGTGGGGTGATTTGGGCTTTCGGGGGCTGCTCACGCTGAGAGGACGCAGAGGCGGTGGTACTTACTTGCCAGGCCCAGGCCTTACCGGCAAGCCCGCAAACCCCACAAGCAGTGAGGTAAGATCCCTCCATTCCCCCACTCACAGGGTACAGACCCCTCCGCCCCCATTTCAAAATCAAAAAAGTAGCGCATTCAGGTGAACGTATAGGCCAAACCCTGAATCCCTGAACCTCTACATGGCTTTATATCGCCTTAAGTAATTAGATCAGGGTTTTGGTGGGTTATTCTAGTATCACTATACTATATTCGGACCCAAAAGGGAATACTATACTAGTAATTTGTCCGACCCCTACATTACAAAGCCGAGCCACGGGTCCCTGCACCGTAGCTGCGGCAGGGCTCACGAGCTGCGGTGGCATGCTGGGCTTCGCGCTGCAGTGGCCAGGACAGGCGCCTCGACAGCAGAACCCTTAAGGGCCCATGTACCCATATAGTATGCTACTATATGGGAACCCCTTTAAGGCCCCGGCCCAAGTATTATACCATATGGGTACATGGACCCTTTGGGGAAGAGGATTTAGGTCGGTGCCCCCGGCGCAGCCAACAAAAGCCTGCAAGGCTACATCCCTATAGTCCTTTGAACCCAGAATCCCCTGCGCCCTTGAGCCTTAAACCCGAAACCCTGAAAGTTCAAACCCTAAACCCTAAACCTTAAACCCTAAACCCTAAATCCCCAAAACGTCGATCTGTGCCCCCCCCCCCCCCCGGCTTGCCAAGGTTCCCAATGGCGGTGGTGCAGTGGCTCCCTGGCTTGACATTGTCTCGGTGGTGCTTTATTGTAACTTTAGATCCTTAGCCTTTTTGGGTTTAGTGGGTTTCTCAATAAGGCAGCTAAAAATTAACTCCTAAGTGCAGCCAAGTTGTGAGTATTTCTCAAGAGGCCTGGAAGTACCTTTCCAGGATGGGCGATCATACCCTAATAACCCGTTTAAAGGGCGGGGTTGACTATCGGTATTCCCTAAACCCTAACCCTAAACCCTAAACCCTAAAGCCTACACCTTAAGGGTGTCACCGGACAGTCTGGAGTGTCAAGGCTGCCAAGCCGGTCACCGCCGTTGTGCTGTGCAATGAGCTGAGCATGTCGGCAGTGCCCTCGCAGATCCTCGCCCCGACCCCAGACTTTGGGGTTTGGGGCCTAGAGGGTTTAGGGTTTAGGGTTTAGGGTTTGGGGTCTATGTGGTTTAGGGTTTAGGGATTAGGGTTTAGGGTCTATATGGTTTAGGGTTTTGCCATTTTATTTTGAATTGGGTTGCGTTTAAGGAACTTGAATGACAATAATATGATGTACGTATAGGGTCTATAGGGTTCAGGGTTTAGGGTTTAGGGTTTAGGTCTTGGTGGCCAGGGACGAGAGAACCCTCAGCCCTAAGCCCCAAATCCCCGACAAAACCCTTAACACCACTACCGCCCCCCTTCCCGCCCCCCAACGAAAAAGCAAGTGAAGCAAACCCCTAAACACCCCAGACACACAAAAGCCCTAGAACCACCAGCCCCCTCTTCAAAACATTGAATCAAAAAGCAAAGTAAGCACCTCCCACTCTAAGACCCCCCTAGACCCTCCAAAGCCCTATGAACCCGACAAACGCGATAAACCCGAAACCCTAAGCCGCCTAAACCCGATAACCCCAAACCAAGAAACCCTACACCCTCAACCCTATAAACCGAAAACTGCCCTAAACCCTAAAGCCCCCCATAGCCCCTAAACTCTAAGCCTTATACAGGCCGGTGGCCTCTTTATCTGTTCCCCTTATAATACCTTACTATAGCCCCGAGATACCCTAGTAAGAACCCCCTACAGAACAGAAGCCCAAAACCCTAAACCCTAAACCCTAAACCCTAAAAACCCTAAAACCCCTAAACCCTAAAACCCCTTTCCAGGGCCGAGTCGCAGACGCTCTGAGACTGCCACGACCCAAAGGGCTGAGCTGAGAGGCCTTGTGGGTTGCCTGGGTTTAGGGTTTAGGGTTTAGGGTTTATGGTAGATCCGAAATCCCTATCAAGCCCCAAGAAACCCTAAAAACTCTAAACCCTAGCCTTAAACCCCAAACCCCAAGCCCTAGCCCTAAACCTTAAACCCTAAACCCCAGCCCTAAACCCTTACCCCTAAAACCCGACAAACCCCTAAAACCTTAAAACCTTAAAAATCCTAACCCCCCTAAACTCATACTAGGATCTTGGGTGTGGCTTAGGGAGCACAAGGAGGGGCCCCCCCTAGTTATAAGTAGAGTTATAGGAGACATAATTGGGTTCTACGGATCCTAAATTGGGTTATAAGCCCCTTACTACGGTTAGGTTAGTAAGGGGGGTAGGGATTCTGGGTCCCCATGAGGCGGTGGGGTCAAAGAAGCGTGATAGCGTCTGGGGTCTCTAGAGTTCTCCCGGGTTCAGGTGTGAACTGGGTTTAGGGTTTAATAGGGGTTAGGGTTTGGGGTTCAGGTTTGCGGGTTAACCTGATATCATTCGCACACAGGATTAGGAAACGTGCGCCAGTCGCGAAGCGACTGGCGTGGCAAATACAGAGTCCAGATTTCCTGGCTGGCTGTATGTGAAGAACCCAAATCTCCTTGTTCTTCTTTGCTATTGTTCCAAAAGTTGTTTTTGTTTTTCATTCTTCGTCGGTTAATTTATAAAAACCAAGCTTTGGGTTCTTGACGTAGGTTCTGGAAGCTATGCGCTCCGTGGTTCTCCTCGGCACAAGCACAGGTGTGAGCAGCGAGTTCTGATGAATGCACGGAGCTGCGCGACGCTGCCACATGCCATGGATGCCCCATGCTCCCAAACCCTAAACCCTAAACCCTAAACCGCAGCCTCACTTTGTGCGACTTGTAGGCTCGAGCCCCAGACTTTTTCAACAGGCAGATTTTGATATAAGAAACCCTCGGCTGGAGAGGCTTCCATGGGCTGTGCCAACAGTGCTCCCGCGGTTGATCCTGCGGTGGATGCCAAGTTTGAGCCACCTTTGGGACCGAGCCTTAGGACCGCAAGATTGCAGAGGGTCAGGGTTTAGGGTTCAGGGTTCAGGGTTCAGGGTTTAGGGTGGGAATCACACACACACAATGTCATTTCCTTTCATCAGGGAGTTTCCGAGTTTAGGGGTACCTTATTGGGGTCCTGTTGATAAGGGACTCCTACTGTTTGGGGGCTTTGGGGTTTCCGAAACTAGGGGTACCTTATTGGGGTCCTAAATATGAGGGGATCTTACTATTTGGGGGTCTACTTTAGGGGTTCCTGATTTGCGTACACCGGCATTTCCTTTCGAATAAGAAAGCAGAAGATACGTATAGGACATAAATTAAAATGCAATGTTTGAAATATGTGAATTACCTGTACCATGACCTTCATCCTTTCCGTTATCAGCATCATTTTGCTTTGTGCCATCATCACCATCATCATCATCATTATCAGGATCGCTGCCACTATCATGTCACATGGTATATTGTTGAGAGAGCTTGTACCTTGTCCAACCCAATCTAATCTATATACCTTCATCGAATGTGGGTTGTTGTTACCAGCCCCCATATAAAATCCTTATATTACGTAGGCAACCTACAAAGTTCTTCGGCCCACGAGTTCCGTGACATAAATTAAATCAATCTAGGGTCTATAAGGGGTACGAGGGAGATGAAGGAAGCCCTCCACAACGGACACTTGTGGCGCTGAGGCCCTCCAAACCCATCGAATCCCACGTGCTGGCTGGAGATCGACTGCGATGGCAAAGTGCTGGGGAGAGTGGAGATTGAATTGAAAGCACCATGGCTGCACAAACTCGAGGTCTGCACGTTTATCTAAGATCAGCCGATTTTTAGCCCTATGAGCCCGAGACCAAAACACTGAAATGTGAACCTTGACTCTTGACTGATCTTTTCGATAAGCTGTCGGCTGCAATGGGCGCAGGATGATGTGTCATGGCGGTCGTCCGTACTACGCAGTATTCAACAACAACCCTAAACCCTAAACCCTAAACCCTAAACCCTAAACCCTAAACCCTAAACTATAGTAGTACCACTCTAAACCCTGGGGGTCTAAACCTTTCAGCCCTTAGAGGATCCTAAGCCCCTAGAGGCCTTTGAACCCCAAACCCTAAACCCGAAACCCTAAACCCTAAACCCTAAACCCTAAACCCTAACCCCTAAACCCTAAACCCTAAACCCCTACGCCTGAAACTAAACCCTAAAACCCTAAACCCTAAACACCTAAGCCTGAAGCTGAACCCAAAATTCCCAGGCCTGAAACTCCCTAAACCCTAAACCCTAAACCCTAAACCCTAAACCCTAAACCCTAGAGTTTGCAGATTCCTGGGCCCTCTTGGCATAAGTTCCAACACCCCCTCCGTCGCAGCCCAGCCTCTCAGGCAGATTCCGTTCCCAAAACAGCCGGGACCCCGTTCTACATGTGTACGGCGTTTGTGTGTGCATTTCTATATGAGGTTTATAGGCCTTATATGTTTGAATGAATATATATATATATATATATATATATATATATAAGACTTTATATTTATATATACACACATGATTGAGTGTTTACATGATGTCCTTGCTGTATTGATTTGTTTCATGTGTTTTTGCTTTTCAGAGGTGGCGTGCCTCCAACAGCTGCATGAATAGCACCGGGGAGGGTGGGGAGGTTGTTTCATTCACTGATGTGCTTCTTACTTTTTCACTGGCTTTTGTAAAACATATGTTGGGTTGAAGTTTTTTTTTTATATGGCTTTTGCGGCTGAAGGGTGTCAAGGTTCATCTTCGCTGCTTCAGCTTCTGTCGAGTCTGCTCCTTCCGTAGGGGCTTTTTATTGAGGGTTGTTGGGTTGTATGACTGTCGGATTTAGGCGGCTGGTGGTTTCCCACGGTCTCCATGAGTTCGAGGGGTGAGAGATTTGAGAAGCATAACAACAAGAGGGATGCCCGACTGAAACCGCCAAAACTCCAACCCCCCACCGTCTCCGCCCCCAAGCCCGAAACACCTTAAACTCCCACCCATAAACCCCTAACTGCTGCTAAAGTCGGAACCCCCCCCCAAAAAAAAAATAAAAGATAAATAAGCCCTCAAGCCCACAAGCCCTAAACCCTAAACTGGCCCTAAACCCTAAACCCTCAACCCTAAACCCTCAAAAAATCTCAAGCCCTGGGACTCGCAAGCTCCAGGCTGAAAATTTCCGTGCGCTGTGCACCATGGAGAAAGGCTTCGGCTTTAAGGGCCGGCGCCTTACGGCTCGGTTTAGGGTTTAGGGACTGGGGTTTAGGGTTCATGGTTCAGGGTTCAGGGTTTAGGGTTTAGGGTTTAAGGATTTAGGGGTTTAGGGTTTGGGGGTTTAGGGGTTTAGACGTTTAGCGGTTTTGGGTTTAGGGCTTCGGGTTTAGGACTCGGAGTTTGAGTGCATAGGGGGGGGGGGGGGGGGGGGGGGGGGGTAGGGTTTAGGGTCTATGGGGATTGTTTTCTTGGAGGTGAAGAGTTGGGTGTATATTGTTTGGGTCAACCTTAGCCTAGACCCTAAACCCTGAACCCTGAACCCTAAACCGTAAACCCCAAACCCCTAAACCCAACCCCAGGCTGCAAGTTCCATCGGATCATTCCGGACTTCATGTGCCAGGCCTCGTAGCAGCCAAAGGAGGGCTTTGCATCTCAGGACAGCTGCGACAGGAAATGCGTGCAGGTTCTTGGGGCCTATGGCGTTTTAGGGTTTAGGGTTTAGGGTTTAGGGTTTAGGGTTTAGGGTTTAGGGTTTAGGGTAACTCAACTCCTTGGGCGTGATCTGGCAGGGGGGGGACTTCACGAAAGGTGTGCCCGGCCTGTTGATCTGGCTCTGCCGAGGGGAGAGCAGGAGTCGAGGTCTCTGGTTCCTTCTGTTCTCCGGGTTGAGCCGGGGTAGGGTTGAGGGTTGAGGGTTTAGGGTTTAGGGTTTAGGGTTTAGAGTTTGGGGTTTAGGGTTTAGGGTTTAGGGTCAAGGGGCTTTTGGATTTAGGGTTCAGGTTAAGGTTTCCATGGCAGGCAACGGAACCGGTGGAAAGTCCATCTATGGGGAGAAGTTCGAGGACTAAGTGCTGTGGAAGGAATGTTCGCAGGAAGACTACGCCCTACTGTAGACCCCAGGTGCTGGCTCTAACCCACAGGGTCCATGTACCTATATGGTATATACTTGGGCCTTAAAGGGGTTCCCATCTTGTAGCTTTAGGGCCCAAGTATATACTATTTGGGTACATGGACCCTTAGGGTAAATTCCCCTTGCAGAGGACGAGAACTTCTCCTTGAAGCACACCGGGCCCGGTATCCTCTCCATGGCGAACGCAGGCCCTCCTGAACGAAGCATTCTGTCCCAAGGGCTCTAAGGACTCTTATTTCAGGGTTTTTGGACCCAGAGGCCTTCTTGTGAGAGGTTTTCGGGCTATTCTGAGCCTCGGGCTATGTCCAAAATCCACCCTCGTAGGCGGCTGCGGGCGAACGAGTACACCAAAACCACAGTCCTGTTGATGACAGTAGGATTGAGGGTCTAGATAGATCTCCCGGCAATGCGGGGTAAACAGTGAGTTTTCCCCTAAACCCTAAACCCTAAACCCTAAACCCTAAACCCTAAAACCTAAACCCTACAACCCTGGAGGCAAGGACACGAATGGAAGTCAGTTTTTCCTCTGCACGGTCACCACGAGCCACCTGGATGGTGCCCACGTGGTCTTCGGCCAAGTCATCAAGGGCTACTCTGTAGTAAAGGCCGGGGGGGTATGGGCTAATCTAGGTTTAGGGTTTAGGGTGCAGGGTTTAGGGCTTAGGGTTTGTAAGATTTAGGGTTTAGGGTTTAGGGTTGTGGAACTTGCTTGGTACCCTGAATAAAGAAACCGGGGCGTTCTTCGAGAACTGATCAAACGAGTCGTTGCCAGGACTCCTCATGCCTCGTCTAGGACCTCCCTGGAGACATTACGAGCATGGCACCGTCCGCTGTACCTTACCAGTGTAGTTCCAAGTAATCCAGGTGTTGCCTCAAGACTGCTTAGGAGTTGTTCCTTTTTGACCAATGAACTTCGAGCCAGAGTAGGCCCTTCTTCCCTTCTTTAAGGGTTTAGGTTCCCTTATCAGCCCCTTTTCACCAAAAAAATGTCACCCTTTGTTAATCCGAGGTTACTCTTGTGAAAACCCTGAACCCTAAACCCTTTAAACCAAAAAAGAGCCTCCTTTTTTGTATTCCTTGGTTCCTCTTGGGTCTTGCGCCGCTTTCGGACTTAGGCTGCCAAGAGCAGTGACATCCTCGAACCCTAAGCCCTGAACCCTAAAGCGCTAAACCCGAAACCCCAAACCCTAAACCCTAAACCCCAAACCCCAAACCCCAAACCCTAAACCCTAAACCCTAAACCCTAAACCCTAAACCCTAAACCCTAAACCCTAAACTAAACCCTAAACCCTACACTTCTGGTCCTGGGAGGCCATAGAGAAGGTGGGTAGCGAGAGTGGAGCACCCTCGCTCCGAGCCCCTTGGCTGACGAGAGCGGAAAAAGTCCCCAACCCCTGACGCCTTGGGTTAAGGTTTTAGGGCTTAGGGTTTGGGGTTTGGGGTTTAGGGTTTAGGGTTTAATGAAGGAACAGGGTTTGAGGGTTTGAGGGTTTGAGGGGTTAAGGGGTTAAGGGTTTTAGTGTGTGTTTAGGGTTTAAGGGGTTTAAGGGTTTTAGAGGTTTTATGGCTTTCGGGTTTTAGGGTTTTGGGGTTCAGTGTTGTTTGTTTTCCTCTCTTTTTTCCGGGTTTTGGGTTTCATGTCATGGTTTTACAGGATTTCAGGGTTTGAGGGTTTTAGGGTTTAGGGCTGATTAGAGTTTAGGGCGGTTTCGGGGAACATTCCCTAGTTAAAGGGGTATTGGGGCTCCCTGCAACACTCCCTGCTGTCAAGGGACTACAGGCGCAACCCTTATAAGGGACCTTAGGGGTTCCTTTGGGGTTGTTTAGGGACTGCTTCGGTATATGTAGGGGTTTATATAGGGGAATAAGATTCAGGGTCCCTTCCTGGGGGGTCCCTCCTTCTTCCACTCCCTGCTGCCTCAGGTCATCATCAAGGACTGTGGGCAAGGTTCTGCAAGTCAAACATAGCAGGCGGCGCGGCCACAAGCGCTCCACCTGGTGCTGCAGGCGTTAAACCCGTGCGCACGACACTGGGAGGGGGTGGGGGGGGCATTAGGGTTTGACTGGGAGGGGGTGGGGAGGGGGATTAGGGTTTGCAGGGTTTTTGGGGTTTAGGGTTTAGGGAGGAATTCATCAGAGTAATGTGCCCTTGTTGTTGTCGAGCCTGGCCCAAGCAGATGTGCAATAAGGAGCGCCCGGGGCGCACACCCTAAATCCCAAACCTCCTTGAACCTCTTGAACGTCGCAAAGTGGGATGCTCGCCCTTATACTAGGGGTACTGTCCCTATGAATGACTGTTAGTCTAAGGGGGAACGCTCCACTTGTTGCATCTAGGTGTTGCAACCTGCAAGCTAGCTACCAGCCTTTGGCAGGGCCTTGGGGTATTTTACATTCTCCCTTATTGGGTTTAAGGGGATCATATTCAGGAACCCTGAACCCTATAGACCCCAAACCCTACACCCTAAAACCCGAAACCCTAGTTTTCAGAGGGTTTTAGGGGCCATCCTAGTTTGGCTTTGGCAGGCAATGACCTGTACCTTGGGTGACGGCCGGAGCCCGAAGGCGAAGCACTTCTGCGAACCGGGAAAAACGGAGCGGTCACCCCCTTGGGGACCTAAGTGAACCCTAAAAGGGTTTATGGTTCATATACCTTACTAGGAATTAGAGTAGTTATGGGTATATGAGCCCAATTTTGGGGTTCATTTCGTCCCCAAGGTCTTGTCCGTTTACAACAGGGGGGTTTACGAAAATAGGGGACCCCTAGTATAGACCCCCCAATAGTAGGATTCCTTTCTAATAAGGACAATAAGGACCCCAAGAAGGTACCCCCGCCCCCCCCCCCCCCCAATTTCGGAAAGCCCCGCGTTGCTCCTTGTGGCTTGAGTTCCCAAGATCTTCAAGGGAACTGCAACTTAAGCAACTTCAATTGGAGGCTCTTGAACATATGGGTGGTTGTCAAAATTATGATTCCTTTTGGGGTACCTAAATACTAGGTGCCGTAGTATAATAGGGATCCAAAAAGGGACCATACTTTTGACAACCACCCATATAGTTAAGCCCGTGACAACTTGTTTAGGTACCTCGATGTGTGAGATGGCAGCCCTTTTGATTGTCATGGACAGTGTGAGGCGAGCCAATCGGAGAGCAACCGAGAGCAACCGCCACTCTGCTGAATACATGGACGTGATCCATGATAGTCATGTACATGCATGCATACAAACACGTTACATACACGTAGATACATATATACCTATATATATATATGTATATATGTATGTGCTCAATCACAACTAGCGCCGCACCATGAGGCGAAACAGACTATGCCAGAACAGAGTACACAGTCGGACATATACACTGCGAATGCTTGTGGCCTACATGTCGAGCTACACCATTGCACATAAGGAAAGGGACCAAAGTTTCTAAAGGATTCTTACCTTAGCCGTCCGGAGCGCCCAGTCATGGCATATGTTGGCGGTGCACGGAATATTTTGGCCGATGCTTTGCCTACAGTGTCGATGCCTACGAGCACGACGAGGCTCGTGCGGCATCCGGCGCGATCGTCAAGAAGCCCTGCTGGGCGGCAGGAATCCCACTCGGCACAGCTTGGCGTATTGCTAAGTACAGTGGTAGCCTCCTGTTGGACCAACAGACAGGGCAGACAGACGCGCACATGCCGAGTGGCAAGAAGTGTCACTGCTGAGCGAACTGCACGAAGGGAGAAGCTCATGCAACCGAAGACAGCATCCAGCAACAAGTGGCATTGGAAGGACCGACTTACAGTCCACTATGCCAAAGCTGCTTCCAAGATACCTGGGACGGACACGGCGGTCGTCTTGCTGCACGGCTTTGGGGTGGCCTCGTTCCACTACGAGGCACAGTTTGGCCCCCTGAGCGAGGCAGGATACACCGTCTACGCGGCAGACAACGTCGGAGCCGGCCTTTCTTGGCCAGACAGCGACCCTGCGCCGGGAACGCCTTTGGAGGTCCAGAGCCCCGGTTCCGAGTGGCTGGGTTGGTGTCTTAGTTTTTTGCTGCTTAATAAAATAAAAATAACAATAAATAAATAACAATAAGAAGAAGAAGAACAATAATATATAGTAACAATAATAGTATTAATAATAATAAAACAATAGAAAGTAATAAACATATTAATAATAAGAATCATAAGGAACTTAAGCTTGAACCTGAAATTGTGCTGTTAACAATAGGGGGTTATACAATATGTATCTTTGTTTAGTATGCACGTGCACGCCCAGGATGTGCTTTTTTGTGGTGTAGCAGAATGTCTGACCCTAAACCCTAAACCCTAAACCCTAAACCCTAAACCTAAACCCTAAACCCTAAACCCTAAACCCTAAACCGGGTTTAGGGTTTAGGTTTTAGGGTTTAGGGTTTAGGGTTTAGGGTCAGACATTCAGCGTCTTCAAGTCAATTTCAACCCAGGTGGGGCTTCGGAAGTCCCTGCCCTCCCTTCGAGGACCTGGTCATTGGGGAGGCCCTGTGGGTGGAGCACCTTGGAGACCAAATGAACCGTAAAATTGGGGTTTAGGGTTTAGGGTTTCGGGTTTAGGGTTTAGGATTTAGGGTCTAGGGAGACTTTATGAACCCAACAATTGGGCATATACCCTATACTACTATCATTCTTAGTAAGGTATATGAACCATAAACTTTTAGGGCTCATAGAATCCCCAACCCAAGGCAGGTGAGAGATTTCATCGCCGAGTGTGTCGAGGAGCCCTACGTGATTCTGGGAGGCAACTCGCTGGGAGGTTACCTGACAGTTCTGGCCACGGCAGCCATGGGCACCGAGCTCCTCGGGCGCGTCAAGGGCGTGGCGCTCCTGAATCCCACACCTTTCTGGGGGTGGATACCGAATCGCTCCAAGAATCCGGGCTTGTACGATACCTTACCCTGGAAGGGCCAGTTCCCTATACCGGCGTCGGTGCGCCCCCTCACCCTGGCATGGTACAACACCCTGCGAAACCCGGACTCCATCGAGTGGCTCCTGAACTTTGTGACCCTCGCCTTCCTGCATTGGTAGAGTACCCTCTCTTCCCCCTTTGTTGACAGCTAAGGGCTGAAAAGTACACCCCGAAATGGGTTCCCTGTTGTTTCTCTAAACCCTAAACGATAAACCCTAAACCCTAAACGAGAAACCCTATACCCTAAACCCTAAACCCTACTATATCCGATATCTGGGGAGTCCACGGTTGAACGCGAGGACCTCGAACCCCGCCGGTGTCGGCCACGAGCTGGCCGAGCGCATCGCCACCATGGCCGACCACCCGGCTGGCGCAGCGGCCTTTGTACTTTAGCCAACAGTAGAACTCCCTGAGGATCCATGTACCTGAAGAGGGTTTAGGGTTTAGGGTTTAGGGTTTAGTATGGATCCACGTACCTATATAGTATACACGTGGCCCCTAAAAGCTACCATATAGGAACCCCCTTTCTAAGGCCCAAGTGTATACTGTGTGGGTAAGGGGATCCTTTAGAACTGGAATCATTTGATAATCGTGACTTTTCCCCTTGCTTCTGGGAGACGTGAGGCTCAGATCCTCTTCACCCCACAAGCTGAGCTTACATTTGAAGAAGCTCTGGACCACGTGGTAAAAAGCAACATCCCGGTGTTCCTCCTCTACGGGCGGGAGGATCCATGGATCATCCCCTACTGGGCCGCTCGTGCCTACTCCACGGCACCAGGAGCGGACTACGTCCAGCTGTCGCCCAGTGGCCACTGCCCTCACTACGAGACTCCTGCGGCAGTGAACGAGTGCCTGCTCCGCTGGCTCCAGGACACTGGGAGCGATTTCGGAGTTTTTTGGGGGGAAAGATGTTTATGTATTGGTTCTACAAGAAGTGGCCATGCGAATCGTAGTTTTGAGATTGGGGTTCTAGGAACAGTGAACTGGGTAGTGCTTTTGGGACATTGTTAGATTTACCTTCTTTCCCTTTCAAGGGAGCCTACTCATAAGTAGCTATTCAAGGGCTTCAGAAGCACCTCCCTAAACTCTAAACCCTAAACTCTAAACCCTAAACCGTGAAGGACAAGGCTCCTGTCGATGGCCAGGCGCAGCAAGACCTGCCAGGATCCATTGGCGCCTCCTTCGCAGTGACGGAGGAAGATGGCCGTGAGGTGGTCGTAACCCGCAGAGGACCCCCCTGGTTCTTGTAGTAGGGAATGAGGGAAATTAGGGCCTGTTGCTACCCTTTAGGGGATTAGATACATATATATATATATACACATGTATATGTGTGTATATATATATATATGCATATAAATAAATATCAACAATAAATAATAAAAAAAATATATATATATATATATAAATAAGTATATATATATATATATGTGTGTGGTGCTTATATGTATATATATATATATACATATGTGTGTGTGGTGCTTATATGTATGTATATATATATATGTATTAGTACTTTAGTTTTTTGAGGGTACCTCACTCCCTCATTCCCTACGCAGAACCAGCCAGAGGATTCCCCGAGCCGTTCCGCGAGGATGAGCTGGCCTGGGATGAGCTCCCCGCTTGGCTCCAGCAGATGGCACGTGGAGACGAGTGAAGTGCACCACTCCTTGGGGACCAAGTGAACCCTAAAATTGGGGGTCATAAACCCTATACTGCTATAATTCCTATGAACTCTAAAATTGGGGTCATAAACCCTATACTACTATAGTTCCTCTTAAGGTGATATGAACCCTGAACCCTTTTAGGGTTCATTTCATCCCCACGGCTCCACCCAGAGTTTCATTGCGCATGTTGGCGCTTCAAATTACACTCTGACTGCACTCTCACTCCCTGCAGTGTTTCGAAGTTTTTTGAAAATCTCAGACATTTAGATGAACCGAGTCATTTTTGAAATTCTCGAGAGATTCACGACGTATCGACATGAATTGAGTTAGTTGTCAATCGTTGCGGCTCATCCCTTGCTTCATCTCCCACTCTGCGTTTCAACTTTTCCCATCAGTGCGCAAGGCAGGAGAACTGAAGTAGGATGCCTGTCGAAAAGGTGCGATGGGGGGGGGGTTCAAACACTAAACCTTCAACCTAATTATAAGCCCTATACACTACCTAGTTGTGGCAAGTCAAGGCTGGTTTGGAGGCTGGGCCATTGTGCCTTGAATCAATATGCACAAGGTAGCTTTTGGGCGGTTCTGGGTTCTTGAGGTACCCTCAACCCTAAACCCTAAAACCCTAAAACCCTAAAACCCTAAAACCCTAAATGTAACTCTAAACCCCAAGCCCTAAAGATGTGTTTACGGTTTCGGCTGCTCGGCTTGTCCTGCCTTGTCGAGTCCAGAAGGTGCAACAGCGGCCGTAGCCCGGTATGGTTCGGTGCATGCTTGCGAGCGCCCACAGCACGTTAGGGTTTAGGGGTTAGGGTTTATAATTAGGGTTTCGGGGTTAGGGTTTAGGGTTTAGGGTTTAGGGTGGAGTTTCCCGAAATTAGGGGTACCTTATTGGGGTCCTATAAGGGAATCCTACTAATTGGGTCTATTTTAAGGGTCCTTTATGTTCGTGAACCCCCCATGGAAGCTCTGCAAGCTGCTAAGACAGAGCAGGCAGGATTTTTGAGACGACTATCCAGGTGCAATCACATGCAAGACAGCACTACAAACCTGAAGCTCTGAACTGCAATGCAGAAGCACGCGGCCCGCGGTAGATGACGGTTGCTGTGTGAAGCTCAGTGGATGGTGTTTGAGAAGTGCTCTGTGGCATGCTTGTCGTCATCGTACATGCTGCTACGCTGCAAGGCTGAGCGTCTGGGCGTGCTGTGTGCCAGGCAGATGCCCTTCACTGCTGCAGTGTGAAGTGTCGGGATGTTCCCCTTTATACTAACAGTCCTTAAAAAGGATTTCAATAGGGGGTAAATACTAACAGTCCTTAATAGGGATTATAATAGGGGTACTATAATCCCGATTAAGGACTGTTAGTATAAGGGGGAACATTCCAAGTGAAGTGCATGAAGCCGGCTGATTGGCAGGATTGGCCTCTGCAGCAGAAATGAGGCTGCAAAGTACGCCAGACGAAACCTCAGCCTAACACCAGTTTTTTGCCATGTCTGTTTGGGGGCTTTCTCCGAGTCAAGCCGTGCACACGAGGGCTTGGACAAATCCTGGTGGATGGCCAGCCAGCGAAGAGTGCGGCCGCCGGGGGCCTCGAACAGACCGGCGTGCGCTTCGAGCACTGAGACTGCACTCAACAGACCTCGAAGATACCGGAACCGCATGAATCCTTCATTAAAATTAGGACGCTACAAGCCACTCAGTTCAGAGAAGACAAGAGCTTGTCAAAGCAAGAGTTGGAGAATGGTTCGGGCTCACTCGCTTTCTCCGCCGATGACACGCTTTGGCGGTCTGAAGAGCTTCCTACCCTAAGGGTTTCTGCTACCCAAAGGGTTTCTGTGCCTGCCTTGCTATGCTAAGGCTTTCTGTGCCTCCCTTCCTACCCTAAGGGTTTCTGTGCCTATATCGTCCACATAGTACATGTGACGGCACTAAAGCCACTATATAGGCACCGCTTCAAGGCCCAAGAATATATTCTATAGAGGTACCTAGACCCTCAGGGCTGGTTCTCAAGGTGGGGTAAGGCGAAAAGTAGGCCAGTTTGGGGTTTAGGGTTTAGGGTTTAGGGTTTTAGGGTTTTAGGGTTTAGGGTCCCTACAAAGAGCCGGTAAGAAACTGAACCCTTGCTTCACGTCTCAGGCGCTGGTTCCTGGCACAGCGAACATCCAGCTTACCCCTCGAGCACAGCGCATGCAGGCATTCGGGTTTAGGCCACCCCGCAAAAATACACCGTAAGAGGGGTTAGGTTTTAGGTAATGGATCCAAGACATGTGGCGGATGTGGGTCTGTTGTTGGAAGCGCAGGGATAGGAGGGTAGGAAGGTTAGGTGCGAGTGATGGTGCAGGCTGGTTTCTGTTGTGTTCGAGTGTGGTTTGTAATCGTGGTGCTGGCAAGCAGTGGGACTCTGAGGCTCGACATGTATAGCAAGAATAGCTTCCTGATGGACTTTTAGATCTGTACGTAGTGACGATAAACCCGAAGCTATGGGGCTCTTTGACACAAAAGCCCTTAACACTCCGCGAGGATGACAAGGTGACCATTCTGCCTGGGCTCCCAAGCGTCAGGGGGGGGGGGGGGGGCGTCTTCCTGAATGAAACCCTAAACCCTAAAGCCTAAACCCTAAACCCTAAAGGGTATTGGGCTCCCCTGGCTTAAAGTGTAGGTTTTGAAGGATGCTGCGGCTCGGTGGCTCAAGTGTTTGGAGGTTCAAGGGTTTGGAGGTTTTAGGGTTGAGGGTTTAGGGTTTAGGGTTCAGGGTTCAGACTTTATATCGCTTTGAGGAGTGTAGGAGTTCGAGGTTCAGGGTTGAGCGGTTCAGGGATTCATGGGCTTAAGGTGTGTGAGGTGTTCGAGTTTCAAAGCCATGGGAGTTTGCCTGCGCTCTCTAAAAGCCTACCGACACCTGAAGAACCGCAAGCCCCCAGGGCTCTTGTACTTCTGGAAGCCTCCCAAAAAGAAAACAAGCAAACCCCCACAACCCTAAACCTGAAGACTTAAACCCTAAACCCCGGAGAAACAAGAAAATCGAAGCCCTACACCCGTTAAGACCACAGGCGGCCCTCCTAGTGCTCGCACCTCTTGCCCTGAGGCTGCACAAGCCTGCCCACTACGCCTCCTGCCGTGCAGGGAAAGGCGTACCATTGGCAAGGAAGCTCTTGGCCCAGCGCTTAGCGAAGGGCAGCCGCCCATAGCCTGTCGGTCTAGGGTTTAGGGTTTAGGGTTTCGGGTTTAGGGTCTACGCTACCAGGATGGGCCATTGCGCCCCACAACCCCTGAAGAAGGCCGTTGAAAGGGTTGATTATGGGGATGCTAAGGCGTGATAGCCCATCCTGTAACTGCCCTGAAACCTCAAGGCCTTAAAGCCTAAACCCCCAATTGTTCTGCCACACCTGGCTCTGACGCCTACTTGAATCACCCTTTTCAGGTCTACCTCGGAGGCCCTTATTTTCCTTTTATAGGGTTGGGATTCCCTCATAATCCCCTAAACCCTAAACCCTAAACCCTAAAAGCCCAAAGGGGTACCTCTTTATTGCTAGGTTACTCCTGGAAACAGAGGTGCCTGAAAACCGGGCACCGAGCTGCCGAACTCGACATGACCCGCCGAGAGCTGAGACCCCATATGGCTGCTGGCATGTAGGCTCTGTAAGGGTTTAGGGTTTAGGATTTAGGGTTTAGGGTTTAGGGTTGAGGCTCTATAAGTAGGGTTTAGGGACTTTCGAGGGCTGAGGAGAATTTGTACGGATCTCAAGGTTTTTGTAGGGTCTATCAGCTTCGCAAGCATGTTGAGATTCTCTGGGCTTGGGCAGCCTGAGAGGAACGTAGTGTGAATTTGTTGCTTGCCATGCAGACGGTATCAAATTGGTGCCAGCTGCATGGCAAAGAAACGGTGTGATGTAAACACTACCTAAACCTCGTTGCAAAAAATGAGCGGCCGGTTGTGATGTGCAGTTCGATAGGGGAGAGCAATATTGGGGACACGCCGCAAACAGGTTTAGGGTTTAGGGTTTAGGGTTTAATTAGGGTAAACCCTAAACCCTAAACCTTAAACCCAAATCCCAATACTGTAGGACAACGCATCCAGCCGCACCTCCAGGCGCCAGCTGAGCAAGCTGGATGCCACGGATGTGCTCGACGAGGCCACGTCCGCGCCTCGACTTTTTTTTTTTGGGGGGGGATCACGTCACATGATGTTCGATTATGCTCTATCTATCATGCACTCTAGTATGGTAACAGCAAGAGAAATGCTAGTAAACCCGAACCATCATCATGTTCATGATCATGATAACAATGATCAAACATCAAACTACATATGGCAGAACATACTCTAAGGGGTACAACACGGACCGGCAATTCCTCAACACTGGAGCCCTTAGACCCTGAACCCCACAAACCCCACGTCCCCATACCAAGCCTATCTATCTTAAGAACCTTTGCTGTAGGTTATAAGGGGATTTGAAAAAAATCAGAGCCCAGAAAAAAGTAGGTTTTGGGTTCTTGAGGTAAGCCCTGTAAACCCTGAACCCCGAGGCCCCTTCAAAATCTAGTCCAAACCCTAAGCCCTAAGCCCTAAACCCTAAACCCTAAACCCTAAACCCTAAACCCTAAACCCTAAACCCTAAACCCTAAACCCTAAACCCTAAACCCTAAGCCCTAAGCCCTAAACCCTAAACCCTAAACCCTAAACCCTAAACTAAACCCTAAACCCTAATGAAGTCTGAACACCCCCCCCAAGCTCATCTTACGGCTTCAGGAGTGGGGTCCTCCTCTTTTCGCAGGACGGTCGAGTGAGGGGCCCAAGATGAGAGCGTCTACTGCGAAGCTTTTTTTGACTTCGCAAGAAGGAGGAGGGTTTAGGGTTTCCGGTTTAGGGTTTAGGGTTTAGGGTTTAGGGTTTAGGGCTAGGGTTCAATAAGCTTGGTTATGGGGATTATTGAGGGGTTTCTAAGTAGACTTACTAAGTCAAAAGGGCTTCCAAGTACCCACCACAGCCGCGTGAGCATCACGCCGAGGGCGCAATAGGCCTCGGGGATTTTCGGCTCTGGGGCTGCTTAGGGTTTAGGGCTTCTAGGGGGTTTATAGGGTTTGGGGATGTTAGGGCTTTAGGGATTTCAGGGGTTAGGGATGTTAGGGTTTAGGGATGTTAGGGTTTGGGGTTGTTAGGGTTTAGGGATGTTAGGGTGTAGGGATGTCTAAGGCTTAGGGATGTCCAGGGCTATAGAGGGAATTCGAGGGCCATGGAGGGTTTAGGGTTTAGGGTTTAGGGCTTCAGGCCTGAGATCCCTGCTTCACGCCCCACGCGGTCGAGGTGTCAACGACCGTTGCCCGAGATCCCCTGGTTGAGAAGGAGCTCCAACCCTAAACCCTAAACCCTAAACCCTAAACCCTAAACCCTGAACCCTGAACCCTGAACCCTGAACCCTGAACCCTGAACCCTGAACCCTGAACCCTGAACCCTGAACCCTGAACCCTGAACCCTGAACCCTGAACCCTGAACCCGAACCCTGAACCCTAAACCCTAAACCCTAAACCCCGTAACCCTAAACCCTCAACCCTCAACCCTAAACCCTAAACCCTAGCAGCCCTCGTGCCCAACATCCTAAACAACCTCTTCGCCCTCGGGCATAGAAGCTCCCAACACATAAGCCCCTGGAGCCACAGCACCCCGGAACCCCCACAGCACCAAAGCCCCAAGTCCTAAGCTCTAAACCGTGAGATCCTGAAATGCAGAGACCTCTAACCCGTAAAGGCTGCTGACGTAGTCCTCTTTGGTGTCGGTGTAGTATACTACCCTAAGGGTCCATATAGCTTATTATTATGTACGTGGGCCCTAAAGTCCCTAAATAGGAGGTACTTTAAAACCCAAGTATTCCCTATTCAGGTACATGAACCCGAAACCCTAAACCCTAAACCCTAAACCCTAAACCCTAAACCCTAAACCCTCCAAGCCCTGCAGGAGTACGACATCCTTACCAATGGCGAGGCCTAAGCTTCTCAGCCCTTTTCGGCTTTGGGGGCTTTTTAGGAGGCTTTTGGGGGTGTTTAGGGTTTAGGGTTTAGGGTTTAGGGTTTAGGGTTTAGGGTTTAGGGTTTAGGGTTTAGGGTTTAGGGTTTAGGGTTTAGGGTTTAGGAGGCTTTTGGGGGTGTTTAGGGGCTTGGGGGGCGTTGAGGTGTTTCGGTTCCGCTTAGGTGTGGGTGAGCGGATGTTTTCGGGTGCTGCGGGGATTTGGGTTTTGAAGGTGCATCCAGTGGCTTGAAAATAAATTCGGTGTTTATGGCTTTGTTTCCTCCCTAGACCCTAAACCCTAAATCCTGTTCAGGTGACGTCTGGACAGCTCTCCGCACTTCAGCTGAACCTGGGAACCCTCTGCTCGCAGGACGCTCGCGTGGGCGCCCCAGCGTCCCCCCACGTTGAGCGATGCTTAAAGGTTTAGGGTTTAGGCGGTTTAGGCGGTTTAGGGTTCAAGGTTGGGGTTTCGGGTTCAGGGTTCAGGGTTCAGGGTTCAGGGGTCATGGTTCAGGGTTCAGGGTTCAGGGTGTAGGGTTCTAAGCCTCTAGGCCCTATTAAGCCCGAACCCCCCAAAAACAACTAAGCAGGATGCCCCCAAGACCTGCCCTACAACACCCTGAAACTCGAAGGCCCCTAAAGGTTTAGGGCTTAGGATCTAGGATTCGGGTTCCAAAGTCCCAAACACCCTGATACCCTGACACCCAAGCCCAAACCCTAAACCCTAATCCTTATCTTTCTAGCCCAGTGGTACCCTTCTCCCTTTCTTTGGTTCAAGGTTCCCTTACAAAGTAACCAACCGAAAAAAGGGTGCCCTTATCAGCATATGGTCACTGGGCCAACAAGATATAAAAAATAAACCCTAAACCCTAGACCCCCCCCCCCCCCAAGCATCAGGTGAGAGAGGTTCCTGGCTATGTCCCACGCGCCGAGAAGGCTGGCGGCCCACTACTGGCTAAGGGCCTTTGGGAGCTTCGGGGGGATTCTCCGTTGTTTGGGGTGCGGGGGGGTTGAGAGGAGGGGTTTAGGCTTAGGGTCCAGGGTTTAGGGTTACCAACCGCAAAACCCGGTGCTGTTTATAAACAGCTGACATGAGCAGTCCCTAAAGCTCCCAAAGCCCCTTCTTGGAGGTTCATGAGTACTTATAAACCCGTTATAACAGCACTTGCAAGCCCGCTATAAGTCCTCTAAGTAGGCTACAAGTACAGTTATACTTGGGGTTCCAAGTGCCCGTGGACCTCCAAGTAAAGGCACTAAAGCCCCCGAACGCCCAAAACCCCCCAAACACCTTAAAAAGAACACAAGAGCTACTTCAGGAGATTTCGCGCTTCCGGGTTGTAAGGGCTTAGGGCTTTGGGGCTTGGAGTTTAGGGGTCTCTTGGGCACATGTTCCTGCTAAGCCGTTGTTCGGGGTTGTAAAGGCTTGAGAGATTGTGCAGACTTGGGCATTCTTAGGAGTGATATGGACTTTTGTTTCCGGACCCTGAGGCCCGAAAAGCCATGTACACCCTGAAACCTAAACCCCAAACCCGAAACCCTAAACCCTAAACCCTAAACCCTAAACCCCCTTTGGACTCGCCGAGGCGCGGCTGTTGCAGGCGGACCCCGCAGCTGTCGTCGAGGAGGGGATGGGCCTCTTTGAGCCTTTCAGGGCCGGCCTTTAAATTGGGTTTTTTTGCGGGTTTATGGGGTTTGGGGTTTTCGGGTTACCCTAAACCCTAAACCCTAAACCCTAAACCCTAAACCCTAAACCCTAAACCCTAAACCCTAAACCCTAAGGGCCCTATAAGTCCAAGGAGGCCAAGCCGAGCGCGTCCTCACGCATTCAGGTGGTCTTCTGCCTGGACCTCAGCTTAGGGTTTAGGGTTTAGGGTTTAGGGTTTAGGGTTTAGGGTTTAGGGTTTAGGGTTTAGGGTTTAGGGTTCAGGGTTCAGGGTTCAGGGTTCAGGTTCAGGGTTTAGGGTTTAGGAACTCCCCCGCCCCGACCCCAGAATAAAAGAACCCGGAGAGGGAATTACCATTATGGCTGATGTTTTGTCTGTTTGTGCTGGGTCTTCCTGAAGCTAGTCCTATAGATAGGGACCCTCAGTCTTAAACCCTAAACCCTAAACCCTAAACCCTAAACCCTAAACCCTAAACCCTAAACCCTAAACCCTAAACCCTAAACCCTAAACCCTAAACCCTAAACCCCCCTACAGCGGTGCTTATGACCAGCTCTGACATGGCACCTCTTTGCTCTTGCAAGGTGGGACCCTGACGTCATCTGATCTGCGACAGATGTGCCCAACCCAGAAACACCTTTAGGGGTTCTATAGGTTTAGGGTTAGGGTTTAGGGTTTAGGGTTTAGGGTTTAGGGTTTAGGGTTTAGGGTTTAGGGTTTAGGGTTTAGGGTTTAGGGTTTAGGGTTTAGGGGTTCTAGGGTTAGGGTTTAGATTTCGGGGTTCTACTTGGAGGTTCATAGATAGCTATAAGTAGGATTATCAGCATATGGTAACTATATGCTTGTAACCACAATTAGCATACTTATAACACCACTTATTACTACCCGTGAGCCTCCAAGTAGGGTTTGGATTTTTGGAGGTTCTAGGGATTTCCGACTCTCGGGGTTCTACTTGGAGGGTCATGGTACTTATTAACCAACTGTAACTGTACTTATAACTGTACTTATAACCATATTAGGGCACTTAAGGGGCTTATATAAGTGCAGTTATAATTGGTTAATAAGTACCATGAACCTCCAAGTAGGGCTTTAGGGTTGAGGAGTTTCCAGGTGTCCAGAGAGGTTCTACTGTCCCAGGTTTGGGGGCCCACCATGCTGCGGAGAGGAGTTGCGCAGCATCCAGACCGCGTCTCCTCGGAGGTTTTTGGGTCCGGTACATACTACCCCAATTATAACTGCACTTACAAGCCCCCTAAGTCCTCGAAGTAGGTTCTAAGTTCTAACCCCAAGTATGACTGCACGTATGAGCCCCCTAGAAGTCCTCAAAATATAAGTTATAAGCACAGTTAGAATTGGGGGGGGTATCTAAGTACCCCTAAACCCTAAACCCTAAACCCTATAAACCCTAAACTCTAAACCCTAAACCCATGAACCTCCACGGCTCTCAGGTGTTCGCAAGCGGGGATGCTGCTCTTCCGGGTCTCTCGCGTCAGAGTCGGTGGCATCAGTCGCAGCCTGAGACCCTATTGGGTTAACCCTATAGGGTTTAGGGTTTAGGTTTTAGGTTTTAGGGTTTAGGGTTATAAACCCTACACCCAAAACCCTAAGCCCGAAGCCGCATCGCTACCCAGAATATCTTCTCCCTACATTCCCGACCATGCCCAAATACTCCTTCTTCTCCTATACATTCTCTGGAAGGCCCAAACACCTGATTCTTATGTAAAAATGGGGGCTCCTAGACGGCATATTCAGACCCTAAACCCTGAACCCTAAACCCTAAACCCTACACCCTGAACCCTAAAACCCTAAACACTCAACCCTAAGCCGAATCGTGCGCAGGCTTGGCCAAGCTGGTGCCGGGGCAGTGGACCGTGGTTCCAGGTCTGCAGCTTAATTCCTCAAGGGCTTCGGGGTTTAGGGTTTAGGGCTTGGGGCTAGGGAGGTTTGAAGTGTACGTGGCTGGTTGACCCTAGACATCCCCCTAAACGCTTTTGGGGACTCATGCTAGACAAGCGGTGACTTTCATATTGGGGTCCTTTTCCCTAGAAGGAAACCCTGTAAGTTGGCATAATCCCCACCCGCTGGTCAATTGAAACCAAGGTGTAGAACCGCTCCTCCGCGAACGAAGCCATTTCCCCGCAGCCGAGGAGAAAAGACCCTCGCGGCGCACTCTGCGCAGCATGCACGAGTGACTTGCAATCCACCATGGCCCACAGAACGGTGTGTCTTGTGTGCTCGTCGACCTATCGGTTCAACTGTTCAATTGCTCGTGGCTATATAAGCATTATGTCAGCCATGAGTCCATGGGAAGGGGCCTTCCGCCGCCACTGCGGGCATGGTCTTGGACCGTTCAAGGTTTGAAGAGTCCAAGACACCCGCCCGCCCTGGCTCTGGCATGGCGCGACGTTGGCACGAAGCCAGGTGCTGTGCACCTCGCCTCGTGCCAACGTCGCGCCGCGCCATAGCCACTGCACGAAGAGCATCAAGCATCAGACGAGAGTCAGCAGAGGCAGCGCCTCCATCCACAGGAGTAGGCAAGGTCTTGCTTCCCAAGGAGATCGGCTGGTAGACTTCGCATGGAGAATCCGGAGCTTTGCAGAGAGATTTTCAACCTCGCCAGCTGGGTCCTGGCGGAGAAGATGGTCGCATCGTGATCAGGGCCAAAGTATACTATCGATTGCCTGGACGATGAGCTCGTGCTCGTCGTCGAGGCAATCGACAGCACTTAGGTCCCGTCGCCGGGGCCAGTCTGGACCAGCCACCCTGAAACCGAGATTCCTTTCCAAGGAAGTCCTTGCGTAGAGGCACGACGAGCTCCACGTAGTTCCACGTAGTTCGACTCATCTGGGATGCTGAGCGCCATGAGGCCCTGTGAAAGGGCTGCGGGCTTCGTCTCGATCGGACTCTTCGGGGTGAATCGGCTGGGCGTGGCGTGCCGCTGGCACGAGGCGTGCCGCTGGCACAGGGCGTCGTGCCCGCTCTGCCCGCGCTGCTTGCAGAGCCACGCCAGAAATACCAGAAGAGGCAGCGCCTCCGAGCAGCGCAGAGATGGCCACAGGCAAAGACCTTCTTCCGAATGAGGACCGCAAAGTCGACATGAAGGAGCTCTCTCTCTCTCTGGAGTCGATGAACCACACTCTGTTCGTGACCAGGGAGGTCCTGCTCCAACTGCCCGCAGCGCAGCCAGAGGTACGCAGAGATTCCGTGAGCACTGAACCACCCACCACGCTCACGAAGTTGCAGAGGCAGCATGCGCAATAAGCAGACCCTGACCAGCCGTGAGCCATACATCGCAAGCCCTTAAGTGCCTAAACGGTCCAGGCTTACAAACCCTAACCTTACAAGGCCCTCTGAACAATCTGGGCAGCGCCCAAAAGTCTTTGGGCGTTGTGAACCCCCCCTGTGGGGATCTTCGAGCGGCGTGGCCACCCACACGGTGCGGTTCAATCCTGACTGGTCGGGGCCTCGCAGGAACTGGATGGTACCAGGACCGGATATTATACCCTGTAACCCCTTAAACAGGCCCTTATAGGGCTGATTACTATACCCCCTTAAAAGGCCCTTTATAATTTATAATATTCGGGTTGATTATAGGGATTATAGGGGCCCAATAGCCCATCCTGGTACCCCGCGGAGGGTCCATGCTTCTTCATTGTTGCACACTGGGGATTAACAGCGCATGGCATCTTGGGATGTTCCCCCTTATACTAAACAGTTCTTAATAGGGATTACAGTAATCAATAGGGGGGTTCCTACAATCCCTATGAAGGACTGTTAGTATAAGGGGGAACAACCCAAATGGCATCCCTCAACGCTTCTCAGCCCAGATACTTCAAAGCCTTTTGCAGACTTGATCAAGTTTGGACACGGGCACATAAAGCCCAAATCTGCATGCGCCGGAAGCTTGCGCGTGCTGCTGATGGCATCAGTGTCCGTGGATCAAGAGCCTTCCTCTCAGGTTCCTACAGACCGGTTTTCAGAAAGATGGCGCGCGTAGGGATTCGTTGAATTGTGGGCCGAGGCAAAGCAAGTGCCAGACAAGTCCGACCCAAGCAAATGCAACAGTCGGATTCGAGGCCTTGGCAGGGTTAGCTGATTCTTTCCCTTTGCGTGGTTATATTAAGGGGGACCCCTAGCAGGGGCATTAATCTTGTTCCTCATATAATATAACCCTTATGTATACCCTATATATTATAGATCCCGAGAAACCTACTAAGTAGCCCCAAACCCCTCCTCCTTCAGCTCCTTGATTCTCCGATCCCACATGACTTGGAGAGGGGGTTCACTTGTGATTTTGTTCTGTATAAGTTGCCAGAGGTACATATTGATTGCATATGAAGCATGTGAATACGTGTATTGGACCTTTCCCGAGGAATGCGAGGGGTTGGGAGCAGAGTTTTCCTGGTTGTTGGCGGCTTGTATATATATATATATGGACATGTATATGTACGTATGTAAACATATCTATATATATATTTATTTATTCATTATTTGTTTATTTATTTCTTTATGCCTCATGAGCTCTGGCGAAAGACTGTCCACTATTGTCCGCCGGTAGCCCAGTGGTGCCCTTGACCCTTCTTTTGCTTCTGGGTTCTCTTGTGAAGCTACCCTTGTTATAAGATGGTAAATGGGCTACCAAAAAGCGGATGTAAAGACGATTCAATGCAGCATTTGGCACAAGTAGTTAGTCAACGTTGCTGGGCACTGTTCCTCCCAGCCACGGCAGGGCTCTCAATGCCTTGGAGGTTCATGGGTACTTATAGCCCCAATTGTAGGGTTTAGGGTTTAGGGTTAGAACCCCACTTGTAAGTCTACTTATGACCTACTTAGAGGACCTAGGGGGCTTCTAAGTACAGTTACAATTGGGGGTATAAGTACCCATGAACCTCCAAAGGGGTCTCAGTCGGAGGAGTCATGGCTCTCCCACCGCCGCGGTTATGAGAAGTCCGTTCCCAAAGGGCCCAAGACCCTCTAATTATGGAATATACCTGAATTCATACAAAAGGGGATCCTTGACATGACTTAAGGTCTTTCCCTTCATTAAGGATTATACCTGAATTCATAAGAAGGGATCCTTAACATGATTTAAGGGTATATTCCTTAATTCAGGGGTACTTGGGCTCATTGGATTCACTGAGGTTTCGCGTCGAGTAGCATGGCGACCATTGCGTATGAAGATGGCGGCATCAACAGGCCGCGGCCTCACTTAGTGCGACAAGATGGCCGCTGGCCCTCTCCACTGATTTTAAACCCTAAACCCTAAACCCTAAACCCTAAACCCTAAACCAATGGGATGTGTCTCCAGAGAATGGTCCCTTCTTGGGCCATCCCTGGGCTTCCTACACCATGGAGCGTTGTAGCTAGGGTACTATTATTATTACTATTATTATTATTATTTCTTTTTTTCTTACTTTTATTATTACTATTCTTATTATTACTATTCTTATTATTACCCAGAAAGAGTGTTAGAGCAACACCGAAAACCCTACTGCGGAGAACTTGCCAGCTGCGCAAAGAGCCCAATACGCCTCAAATTAAGGAATATACCCTAATTCACAAAGGGATCCTTAATCTGATTTAAGGTGTATTCCTTCATTAAGGTATATTCTTTCATAAAGGGATCCTGAATATGATTTAAGGTTTGTTCCGTAATTAAGGGGTATTGGGGCTCTTTGGCTTGGCAAGCCGCAGGACTTCGAAGGCTTTGACGCAGCCCAAGTCGCAGGCCCGAGTGGCTTTCTTTGTTATTCTGGTTCTTAGCAGGGAATGGGGGAATATTAGGGCCCTTTGAGGGATTCTATAGCCGTATATATATATATATATATATATGTACCCTTTAAGGGGATTCTATAGGGTATCTCATTCCCTCATTCCGTAACCATCCAGTTGCTTCTTTTCTCAAGTATGGTCCCTTTTGGGGTCCTCCTTGTTTGGCGGCCCCTATTTACTCAGGGCGCCCAAAAGGAGGGCTGACCATGTGACTGCTGCCGGCGGTTTAGGGTGTTAGCCAACACAGCAGCCTTGCACGGGGTTTGACCTATCTACGGGCCATGACTTGGGGCGTCTGTTATGGGTTCCTTACCAACCTATTCTAAACCTAAACCCTATATGCCCTACACCCTAACCCTGTAACTACTTTTCGAGTCCCAGGATTTTAGAACTTGGCGAGCCCAACCCAGGGCCCCCAGAACCGAAAACGACTCATGTGGTTCAGGTTTAGGGTTTCAGGGGTATAGGTTGAGGGTGTAGGGGCTTGGGGCTTAGGGGATTTAGGGGTTGGGGGTTTCAGGTTTAGGGGTTTAGGAGTGTAGGGTTCAGGGAGGGCTTGGGGTTTAGGGGTGTACGGTTTAGGGGTTCAGGGTTTGGGGTTTAGGGTTTAAGGGTCTATAGGGTTTAGGGGTGTACAGGGTTTATGAATCCCTGATTCCGCAGGGCGCTTCCCAAGCCATGCTGCATGCGGTTGGCATGAAGAAGGAGGACCTCAACAAAGCGCAGGCACCTACCCTGGCTGCGACTGCTTGCAAGCACCCCTAAACCCTAAACCCTAAACCCTAAACCCTAAACCCTAAACCCGGGTTGACAGTTGAGGGATCCCCTACACCCTCAACGCTAAATCCTGAACCAGGGGACAGCGGAGGTTGACATTGACCATATGCAAAGAAGAAAACCCACTCTCTTCCACCTGCGACAGGTTGGGATTTGCTCCGTGTGGTACCAGGGCAACCCATGCAACATGCATTTGCTCTCCTTGGGTGACGATGTCAAGAAGGAGGTTGACAAGGAGCGCCACGTAGAAAGCCAACCCAAAAAAGGGGTGCCCTTGTTGTAGTATGAGAAAACCAACCCAAAAAAGGGGTGCCCTTATTGTAGAATGGTTACTGGGCTACCAAGCTTTTCAGAACCCCATGCGCATTGCAAGTAGCCGCTTTGTGATCTCTCGGCTGCTCCAATCAGCTCTTGCTATTTGCTCCAGGCCTTGCCTGCCTTTCCTCATCCGGGACTTTCCCAAAAGTAGGGTCCCGATATACGATCCCCAAGTGCAGCAAGATCCCAAATCGTAGGATTCCTTTTCTATCAGGACCCACAGCTGTACGGCTTTCAGTTCAACACCATCGGCGTTTCGGATGGTATGTCGATGGGAACGAAAGGCATGATGTATTCGCTGCCTTCACGAGACGCCCAGGCCGCAAGCAGTACATGGTCAATTCTCCAAAATTATGGTCCCTTCTTGGGGTACCCTGAATAATAATAGGGGCCGCCTTATAAGAAGAACCCCCCCCCCCCCCACATTTTCCATATTTTGGAGAAGTGATCGTATCGACGCACACCGGAAGTGTTCTGAGATGTCTCGAGACGCTGGCCAGGCCAAAGCCTAACAACCTGCAGCCTCTAGCTGACTTACTGACTACCTTCTACCATGCCTTAGGGTTTAGGGTTTAGGGTTTAGGGCTTAGGGTTTTAGGATTCAGGGTTTATAATAGGGTTTAGGGTTTAGTGTCACGCATCGAGTAGCTGCCTGAAGACACAGCTCCATGGCTCTTTCTCAGATGAGTTGGAAGCCGAAGCACGACTAGCTTCCACGCACTGATGGTAAGGAGATCATTGCTGACAGTATTGAATCAGCCGCTTGGACATTTCAGACTCCATGATGAACCCAATGCTGCCTACTTCCATGTGCCTTGTTTGGGGTTCTCATGTGGAGCCCACCCCCCAAAAGGGCCCAGAATTTAAGAGAACTCAAGTCACGGGTGTTTGCCATGCTCCCGAAACCCTGCCCGAAACACGCCTCAATACATTCATTGTCATGTTTCGGATCACGTGATTACGTGTTTCAGCTTAGGTCATGGGAGCTCAATTCTACGACGCCCTTGTGACGATTCCCGGGTGTGACAAGAACATGCCAGGCCACAGTCATGCATGCATCCAGACCCCCCTCCATTTGAAGTTCTTGTACCTCATTCGATGGTTGGTAGAAAATTCTTTTTGGAAACTGAGGTGCCCCCCCCCCCCCCCCCCCTTTCAACCTTTCAAAAGAAGGGAGTGTGGGATCTAGGTGCAACTTTGGGGATTGAGGTTTGCGCTACAGTCACATCTGGACAAGCCTTGCTGCCTGCTCCAAGCCAAGCTGATGTTGTGCAGCAAACCCTCAACCCTGAACCCTAAAACCCTAAACCATCAACCCTAAACCCTAAACCCTAACCCCTAACCCCTAAACCCTAAACCCTTAACCCTTAACCCTTAACCCTAAACCCTAACCCGAAACCCTAAGATGCACGAGCCAAGCAAGAACGATGTTAGTTCCAGCTGGGGAGGCTGCGTCATGGCCATGATCCGCATGAATCGGCAGCCCGTGCTGATCAGTTTCTGTCGTGTTCTTGCCAGTACCTGGACTTCGATGTATAAGAAAAACATGGCTGACGACCCAGGAATGTTTCACAAGGGCGCACCTCCTGTGCAATCCCTGATAAGCGATCTAGCTACGACCAAGTATGAGTCGACTCTGGTTCTTCTTGGTTAGCAAAAGTTATGGCATTATTCTTGGTAGCCTTGTGGTACCCTTTTCCCGCTTTTGAGGTTCCTTTATAGAGTAGTCAACCCAAAAAGGGGTGGGCTACCAAGTATGCGCATTACTGGACATGCTTCGGGTTTTGGTTCTGCTTCCGAGGCCCTCTCTGATGCTGTATGGAGGAACCATCGCCTCCGGGCGCTCGTGCAAGGGTGAAGACCTGGACATCGTCTCTACTTTCGAGGCGCCGGCCCTAGAACCAATGGGTTGAGGGTTTAGGGTTTAGGGTTTAGGGTTTTCTGGGTTAGGCAACGCATGTTACTTTATCGTAATACGATGGTAGGTGTCAGCGAAGACATTTTCAGTGGGAATAAGAATCGCCTGCTGCTGCCTGGACCCACTAAACCCTAAGCCCGAAGCCTTATAAGCCCTAAAAGCCCTTATAAGCCCTAAACGCCCTAAGCCCTCAGCCCTGCGCCCTAAGCCCAAGCTAGCTCTTGAGAGGCCTATGGGAAGTTTATCGCTGGTACCATCTCTGACGAGGATGCAGAGTGCCACTGTCTGTTGCTGGTTGGGGAGGTGGCGGTATTTTTCCGTGTTTTTTTTACCCGTTTTTTTTTGTAGTTTTTTTTCCGGCCGTCTGGCCCAGCAAGCAAGCAAGCAAGTAAGCAAGCGAGCCAGCAAGCAAGGAAAACAAGCAACGGTACCAGCAAGCAAGCAATCAAGCAAGCAAGCAAACAAGCAAGCAAGCAAGCAAGCAAGCGAGCAAGCGGGCCAGCAAGCAAGCAAGCAAGCAAGCAAGCAAACAAGCCAGCCCCCCCCGCTTGGGCTGCGCCCCCCCCCCCCCCCCCCCCAACCCCCCGCTTTTTTAAGCTAAAACCCTAAACCCTAAACCCTAAACCTAAACCCTAAACCCTAACCCCTAAACCCTAAACCCTAAACCCTAAACCCTAAACTAAACCTAAAACCCTAAACCCTAAACCCTAAACCCTAAACCCTAAACCCTAAACCCTAAACCCTAAACCCTAAACCCTAAACCCTAAACCCTAAACCCTAAACCCAACCCCCCCCGCTTTTTAGCTTCTTTCAAAGCATGTGAATCTTGAAACCCATCATGCAAGCAAACTCATCATGCAAGCATTGAGTTTGCAAATGGGGGGGGGGCTGCGCCCCCCCCCAACCCCCCCCGCTTGGGCTGCGCCCCCCCCCCCCCCCAACCCCCGCTTTAGCTAAGCCCTAAAACCTAAACCCTAAACCTACACCTAAACCTACACAATAAACCCTAAACCCTAAACCCTAAACCCTAAACCCTAACCCTAAAACCCTAAACCCCCTAAACCCTCTAAACCCTAAACCCTAAACCCTAAACCCTAAACCCTAAACCCAACCCCCCCCGCTTTTTAGCTTCTTTCAAAGCATGTGAATCTTGAAACCCATCATGCAAGCAAACTCATCATGCAAGCATTGAGTTTGCAAATGGGGGCGGGCTGCGCCCCCCCCCAACCCCCCCCGCTTGGGCTGCGCTCCCCCCCCGCCCAACCCCCCCGCAACCCCCCCGCTTTTTTAAGCTAAACCCTAAAACCTAAACCCTAAACCCTACACCCTAAACCCTACACCCTAAACCCTAAACCCTAAACCCTAAACCCTAAACCCTAAACCCTAAACCCTAAACCCTAAACCCTAAACCCTAAACCCTAAACCCTAAACCCTAAACCCTAAACCCTAAACCCTAAACCCAACCCCCCCGCTTTTTAGCTTCTTTCAAAGCATGTGAATCTTGAAACCCATCATGCAAGCAAACTCATCATGCAAGCATTGAGTTTGCAAATGGGGGGGGGGCTGCGCCCCCCCCCCCCCCCCCAACCCCCCCCCCCCCCCGCTTGGGCTGCGCCCCCCCCCCCCCCCCCCAACCCCCCCGCTTTTTAAAGCTAAACCCTAAAACCTAAACCCTAAACCCTACACCCTAAACCCTACACCCTAAACTCTAAACCCTTAACCCTAAACCCTGGGTATGTAGGGTTTATAGGGGAGGGCTCAGTACCCCCTCGACAGAGGGGGGAAGCCAAGAGGTTCCCGACCAGCAAGCCAGAAAAAAAACACAAAAAAAAAAAACGGAAAAAAAACTACGGAAAATATCCCAGCCGGGTTGGGGAGCACCTCACGCCCTAAAACCCTCTAGGGTTTTGGGTTTCGGGCTTATGGACCCTAACCCTAAACCCTAAACCCTAAACCCCAAACCCCAAACCCCAAACCCCAAACCCCAAACCCCAAACCCTAAACCCTAAACCCTAAGCCCTAAGCCCTAAACCTAAACCCTAACCCTAGAGGACAGAGCCGACATCGTGCTGAACGCATGCCCCGGGCCGGGGGCGTGTGGTGGCATGTACCTTGGAGACCATTAGGGTTTAGGGTTTAGGGTTACTATGATTCCTATTTAAGGTATATTCTGCCCTATACTACTAGAATTCCTATTATGGTAATATGAACCATAAACCCTTCTGGGGCTCTTTCGTCCCCAAGGTACACTGCCAACACCATGGCAACCGCGACGGAGGCGCCTCGCGTAGCCCTGAACCTGTCGGAGTGCCAAACCCCCATTACCCCCAAAATCACGAAATAAGGGTCCAAGGCCCTGAATTTGCAGCTTATATCCCTAAACCCTGAACTCGCGGACGAATAGTGAAGTCGGCTTCGAAATATTCGGATCGGGCATTGAGGACTAGTTTTCTCCCCGAAACAGCTCCTTTCTCGAAAGCCCCCCCCCCCCCCCGGTTTTGTCAGACAGCTTGGTCGCGTCTCAGTGCAAGTTTCCTGGGCGTGGAGAGCGCCTAAACCCTGCACCCTATAAACTCTAACCCTCCACCCTAAACCCTAAACCCTATTCTTCGTGCCTCCAGGCTCTGGGGCTCTCGCTTCCTTACTCAAGCTCTTCGCCCGCCGCGTCGGCCGAGAAGCGCCGGCCCCAGACCCTTTGGGGTTTAGGGTTTGGGGTTTAGGGCTTGGGGTTTAGTTTTTTTTTTTAATGTTTTTTTTTTTTTTTTTTTTTGGGGGGGGGGGGGAGGGCCGATTATTGGGTCTTCTGATCTGATGGTTTTAGGCCCAAACGACCCTCATTTTAATACCATTTGGTTCGGGGAGTGGTTTCCTTATGAAGCCCATTCATATAGCCCAAAACGGTGTAGGCTTTGGGGTTCAACCCTAAACCCTACCTTAAAGATCCCAAAGTCTACTTTTTGGTAGCTAGGTTACCTAAGAGTCTCTACGGGTGTGGAAATGAGAACGGTTTTGGGATCTTACTGCAAATCGTTGGGACCTAGACTGCCATTTGTTGGAAGCGTTTGCTCTGTCGCGAGGCGAGCGGAGTGCCAACGAGCAGCCCAATGCGTCAAGGAGCCCGCCGCGTATTTTAGGGGTCAGAAAAATCCCAAAGGGTCCATGTACCTATATGGTATATACTTGGGCCTTAAAGGGGTTCCCATATAGTAGCTTTAGGGCCCAAGTATATACTATATGGGTACATGGACCCTTAGGGAATTACTCGTAATACTATTCCCAAGAGGCCGTGACGAGGAAGTGACTGGGCATCTGGTGGGCGGGGCCAATTGGGAAAGCATGTGCCTTTTGTTCATTCTTTCGGTTTGCTTTCGGGTTCCTGGCTTGACCTTGAGCTTACCACCGGCGTTTCAGAGTGGCTTAGCTATTTGGGCTTTGTTGTGCTGGCTTTCATGGTCCTAAGCTCCAAATTCACGCAGGTGTCGCGAGCGCAAAATGTCCGCAGGCCATGCTGGAAAGGAATCTCAAGCCTATGGACATCGTCACGAAGAAGTCTTTCGAGAATGCCATGGTTCTTGTCAACGCACTAGGCAGGAATTCACAGTGAACTTGTGTCCCGAAACGCCCAAACACACATTCAGAAGCTACAAACCCCCAAAGCCCAGCGCAGGCTGTGCTGGGTTTCCGGGGTTCCCACAAGAAGGGTAACAGCATTTGGGGGTAGAAAAGGGCGGTCACTTAGAGTTGGGGAAGTAGTACACAGACACGAAAGGGCTAAAGCAGCCACTGTGGGTGGCCGAAAAGGTTCCCGAAAAAATGTATCTGGGACCTTCCATGGGCTATTCGGCCCTATTAACCCCTATCAACAGCCCTATAAGGGCTCTTTGTTAAGGGTTATAAGGGTCTAATAGCCCATTCGGCTTTGTCAGGTGGATCAACCAATGCTGTGCTACACTTGCTCGCCATTGCGGCCACTGCCGGCGATCCTTTTCAGCACGGCAGCTTCCTGGGAAGGGTGTCTGTGGGATGGTCTGTAAGGGTCCGTGTACCTTTATGGTCTATACTTGACATAAGGGTTCCCACAGAATACCTTTGGGCCCAAGTATATACTACATGAGGGTTTCCGAAATAAGGGGTGCCTTATTGGGGTCCTTGTAAAAAGGAATCCTACTATTTGGGGGTTATACTGGGGGTCCCACATTTTCCTAAACCCCAGTATGGGTACATGGACCCTAAGAGGGTTTTTCGGGGGCCTCAAATCCGATTCCCTGAAGGGTCGGGCTTGGGCTTCATGTGCTGGGGGTTTATATGGGTTTATAAGGGGTTATAAAGGCTTATAAGGGGTTTAGAAAGCTTTATAAGAGCTTATAAGGATGTACAAGGGTTTATCAGGGCTTCTAAGGGTTTACTCGTGGAAGGGTTTATTAGGGTTGATCAGGGCTGATAAGGCTTTATAACGGTTCATAAGGGCGAATAAGGGTTTAGGGTTTAGAAGGGTGTATTTATAAGGGCTTGTAATAACGGATTACATAGGTTTTAGCATTTATTAGGGTTTTACAAGGGTGTATGAGGGTTTCGGGTTTAGAGCATGGTGCAAGGTGCACTTCTGTATGTTAAAGAAGTCATTGCAGATAAATAGACATAAGCATTTAGAGCATTGACCACGTGTCGTCCCGAGATCGAGCTGAAAATCGATGACTTCCAGCGGATTAGCGACAAGACAGCGCTGGTCGCCGACTTGAAGCCTAGCGGGAAATACAGGATGGAGGCCGGCAGACATGTTGGGCTTATAGCTTAGTAGCAGAGCAGGTGACCTTTAACATCCTTTTAAGCTTTTTGGTGTAGTATAATCCCCTTAGAATCCCAAAGGGTAACCTTTAGTTCCCCAGGGTTACGATAGCCCCTAAGGGTCCATGTACGTGTATAGTATGTGCTTGGGCCTTAAAGGGAATCCCATGTAGCAGCTGTAGGGCCGAAGATATTTTCGATATAGGTACAAGGACACTCAGGGTAGCTCTTAGACTGAGCAGTATGTTTGTGAAACCCGGGTGCGATCCACAGACAGAGCTTGAGACCATGTGCGAGGACGTACACCGCATCGGTGGTATTCCTGTGGTTATGAAGTATTTGCTGAAGCTTGGCTGGCTGCATGGAGATTGCCTCACGGTTCGGACCCTACTGTAGAAGAGTCAGGCGCAGTGAGCGTTTGGATGTTCCCCCTTATGCTAATAGTCCTTAATAGGCATTATAGTACACCCTATCATAATCCCTATTAAGGACTGCTAGTATAAGGGGGAACATCCCAGCCTGAGAGTATGGAGGTTTTGACTGTTTTGCTCGGCTGGCGCGATCTGTTTTCTGTCCCCTCGCTAAGGTTACAGGCCAGACATTGGCCCAAAACTTGGCCAACGTTCCAGATGTGGACTTCGGGGCGCAAAGCGTGCTGCTGCCCCTGGAAAGGCCCACAGCATGTTAAGGGTTTAGGGGTTCGGGTTTAGTGTTTAGGGTTTAGAGTTTAGGGTTCTATAAACCCAAGCCCGAATTGAAGCCAGGATGAAATCTGCTTGCGCAGGTGCATTCAGAAGACTGGCAACATCAAGATTCTGTGGCTTGGAATGCACGATCCCCACTCCCTGACCGCAAGCCACTGTAGGCCCTTATTCCCCCCCCCCCCCCTGCTTCTGGTTTAGGTTCCCTTATAAGCCCCTTTAAACCAAAAGGGCCCCTTTGTATTCCTAGGTTTCTCTTGGGTCTAGCGTACTTTCCTACTCGGCCACTGAGCCTTTGCAAACCCCCCAAAAAAGAAATCACGGGTTGAGGGTTTAGGCCCCAAGCCCCAAACCCAATTGCGTAAATTAAGCCATTATTACTGGGTTTTGGAGTGCTATACTTTCATACTCTTTTTGGTTCTGGGTTCCTATCAAAGCTACTTCTACCTTAAAAGTTTATACTTGTTTCCAGGGTCTACTCCAAAGTAGGGATCAGCCCCCTTAAGGTGGGTTTAAGGGCGGGGGGGTAGCACATACACCCTATATACATATATCTATATGTATCTATATGCTCACCACCCCCCCCCAAGATCTCGTTTACAGGTTTCCAGAACCGAGGGGGGAGGGGGAGGGGGGAGGGGAGGGGGGAGGGAGGGGGGAGGCGGGGAGGAGGGAGAGGGGGAGGGGGGGGGGGGGGGGGGGGGGGGGAGGGGGGGAGGGGGGAGGGGGGAGGGGGGAGGGGGGGGGGGAGGGGGGAGGGGGGAGGGGGGGGGGGAGGGAGGGGGGAGGGGGGAGGGGGGAGGGGGGAGGGGGGAGGGGGGAGGGGGGAGGGGGGAGGGGGCAGGGGGGAGGGGGGAGGGGGGGAGGGAGGGGGAGGCTTCGCCTTGCTTCGCCTTGCTTCGCCTTGCTTCGCCTTGCTTCACCTCGCTTCACCTTGCTTCGCCTTGCTTCGCCTTGCTTCGCCTTCCAGCACAAAGCCAGTAATGAAAAGCTCGATTTCCATATTAAACAAACACTGAAATTGTGCGAGCCTGCTGTTACTGTTTCTCATATGTTTTTTCTCAAGCAGTACTCACACAACAATCCTGCCAAGACATGGAAAACGATACGTCACCAACATCTCTTGGCAAGTGATTTTTTACACAAAATCAAAACGTATGGTATAAAATACTATAGTATGGTATGGTATAATGTCATATCGTATTGTATAGTCTAGTCTAGTATAGAAGAGTATACTATAGTAGTATAGTATAGCATAGTATAGTGTAGTACAATATGGTGTATAACTGTCAATTATAGTATTCTAGTACAGTGTGAATAGTGTAGTCTAGTCTAGTATAGTCTAGGTATAGTCCAGTTTGGTACAGTACGGTACATTATAACACAGTCCGGTATACTACAGTCTAGTAGAGTCTAGACTTATAGCAGTGTCGTCTAGCCTAGTATAATAGTGGAAAGCACAGCAAAGTGTTTTCCACAGAGTTCGTTGTAGCTTTAATATGATAGCGCTTGAGGGCCAGGGAGTGGAACGACACGGGCTTTTAGGCACTTCCTCCAGGGTCGGCAGGCTGCAGAGCGACAAACTGAGCATTTCTTCATATTGATTTCCATGACATTGAAGATCTGCAATGCTGCGGGCCGTTTCAGTGCCCAAGCCTTGTCGGCCTGCTCATCATGGCCGGCTCCCTCAGCGCGGTCATCTTTGGGCAGTGGAAGCTGCTCTGCAGCTTTCCTGCACAGTTAGGCAGATGTGGGTAGCCTTGCAGTGTCAACCGTGGCCAAGGTAAGGAGACCTCTGCCTTGCTTTGCTGCGAGGCATGGGCGTTTCTTTGAGGACCAATCATCGCAACAATAGTACTGTAGCTAGTACGGATAAAATTTGGCCTCCATGACTTTACCTCCAGTCTCAGAAGAGGCACGGTGGAGGCGGGTCCAGGGTTTGCCTCCTGGAAGCGAACGAAGTCAGAAAGCAATCCCTCACCCCATGGGATGCAAAAAGAAAATCAAGAGATTGAAGAAGGGCTCCGCAAAAGAAAGATTCAAAGAAAATGCAAGCCTAATGAGGCAAGGAGCCGCCCCAGCCTCCCCCTGCTTGCTTTGCTTCTGCTCCTGCTTTTGCCTTGTGCATCCGCTTCTGATGTGGGAAAGCCGCGTCATGAAAACATGTATGCATTCACCGATGTCACTTCGATGACAACCTGGCCCATTGGGCCCCCAAATTCGTTTAGTCCTAAAGCGCTCGCAGCCATGGCTACTGCTGGGCACTTGCGCAACAGCACCGGCGAGGAATATGAGGATCTTCAATGTAGCTCCTTAAATGAAGCCGCTCGCTTGCATCAATTGGCTCTTGTGGGTTTGCCTATAAGCAGCCTTGTCTTGAATGTCAGTGCTCGTGGCACAGTGGGCCTGCCCATTGTTTCGAGTCAGTATAACAGAAGCTCCACTGGTTCGGATTACCTCTGCGTTTTCTGTGAGCAACTCTTTCCGCAGATAGTGGACGGTCAAAACAAGATGCGGTTTTGGTTTTCCGGTTTTGTCTTGTTGATGGCTGCTTGCATGCTGGGATGTGGGGATAACCACGAACCACGAATGAGGAACACTATCTCCCGGGATATAGGGAGAAATCCTGACAAAAACCATTACAAAAAGATGAAGAAGTCACGGCCTATTGCACGATATGCGCTTCATGTGATATGTCGCGAATGCCGCTGGATTGGGAATGGCAAAGGCCAGCGCCAAAGGCAAAGCGCTGCGAGAATCCGGGCGAGAGAAAGAGCGTGGAGACTCATGGTAACTAGACAAAGCTACAGACTGTCAACCCGTGGAACTTCAAACAGTGTGCAGAAGAGCTGGGCCAACAAACCCAGGAAGCGATCTCCACTGACCAGGGTGCTTGCGAAGATAAAAGAGCGGATCAGTAGCGATCATGAATCTTTGCCTGAGTTGTATGCACCCCAACAACGAAAACCCACTGAGTTGCCCCAACGACGGATATATCCAGAAACAAGCGAGGAAGACTCATGCGTGCAGTTGGCATTGCCACGCTGTTCTTTCTCTTTCTTTGTTGTGGGCTTTCTTTCCAGAATCAGGTCACACTTAGAACTGAGGATGAGGTCCGCAGACAGCTCAGTCGAACCTTGAACACTGATTGGGACCCTTACAAAGCTATGAGAATTGGTGAAGCTTCGAATCCTGGACCACCTGCTGGACCTAGGAAGACGTATAGGAAAAGACAGCAACGCGAGCTTGTCAAGCTGGCCCCTAGTGTCATGAGGCAGATTGTGGAACAGGTTGTGATTGCCATGAACCAGTCTCAGCAGTTTTTCCAACATGCGGATCCTGAAATGCCTGCTCCCAAAAACGAACAGAAACGCAGAAAAAAGAACCGCGTTGAAACCTCTGAGGCGTTCATGTGTGACCCCCCCGAAAACCATGTTGCTGATCAAACGCATGACATTTGGCATTGGTATCAGCAACAGTCGGAGAAAGACCAGAATTCAGTTTGGTGGCCTCAGAACACTGAAGAAGACCGCTGGAGCCCCAGTGAGTGGAAAGCATGGAAGAAATGGACCTACTCAGACCGTCAGGATTGGGAGCCTTATCCTGATGACAGCAATAGGGATGTTTCTGCGTGGCCCTTACTTCCCCAGCCTCAGAGAAACAACCAAGGCAGCAGATTCGCTGAACGCCTGAACCCTAAAGAATGGACTGGTCAGCCCAAAAAAGGTCAAAAACGCCAAAATCAGGATGCCAAAAAGCCCAAACCAAAAAAAGAAAACCAAAAAAAAACATTATTCTGAGACTCTTGGACAGGTGAAACCAAAACAACCGAAACCAAAAAAAACCAAAACCAAAAAACAAAAAAAAACCAAAACAAAACTAAAAAAAACATTATTTTCGAACTCTTGACGACACGGGGTATTGATTCCCTTTGTCCAAGAGTCTCGGAATAATGGTGTTTTTTTTTTTTTGGTTTTTTGGTTTTGGTTTTTTTTTTTGGTTTGGGGGTTTTGGTTTTTGGTTTTTTTGGTTTCCAAGAGTCTCAGAAAAATGGTCATTTTGGTTCTTTTTTTTTTTGGTTTTGTTTTTTTTGGTTTGTGGGTTTTTGGTTTGTCTGATCTTGTGTTTCTCTTGTAGAGAATAGTGCGTGCCAAAACCTAGGGAAATACTGTGCTTTTTCAGATGCATAGTGCCTGCACTAGGCAAATATTGAACTAACACTATACGAAAGAGGCCGAGTGAACTATCCTAGTTTTTGGTCACTCATAGAATATCCATTGCAAAATGTAGCGATTGAGCTCGGCAATCTAGACAAATACTGCAACTTTAGAGACAAGATGTTTTTTTTGAAAAGCAATTCGTTTTGTTTCTAGAGAAGCAGTGCTTGTCCCAAGCCCAACAAGAATACTCTTCTAAGCACATAGTGCGGCAACAATACTGAATTACGAACTCTTAAACAGCATAGACAAGCTTGCAAATGCATAATTCTCGTAGAGATCTTAAAGAAACACGACTTTAGCACAGCGATTATGTGTACTAGATTTGACTTTAAAAACAAGCAGTTTTCATCACACAGTGATGAAGCACTGCTCGGGCACTAAATAAATACCACTTGTACAGATGATATTCTGTCTCAAGCGCACAATTCGCATAGACAAGCTCAAGAATACATATTCTTTCTTAGAAGCCTAATTTGCCTCGTGAAGATCATAGTACTCGGAAATTCCAAATCCTAAAGCCTGGGGAGAATCTCTGGCGAAGTTTGGACTTTTGGTTTTCAGGTGTTTCGGCACAAATAATGCAATTTTCCTAAGGAACGCTTTTTTCCAAGCAAAATGTTGATTATTAAACACTATTGAAACACCTGGTACATTTTAACAGCACACCAATGCAATACTTATTGCATAGAAATTCAATACCAAGTACATACTGGTTTTGTCGATTTAGTAGGAATTCCTCTTTTCAGCTTGCTTGGAGTGAGCAATGAAGGACAGCTATTGGGACACACCGCCCGATAAGCAAGACTTGGAGTTTGCAGAACCCCCGGAACGCAGCGGACATATTTTACTACGGAATCAATGATTACCATAACAGTCGGCATGATAATATTGTTATGGTTAGTGGTAGGAATTACCCTACTATTGGCTGTTATTGTTGTGTGAGAGAAAGAGACCCTTTCCTGGGAATCTTGCAAGAAGCCCCGTCAGACCCGGTGTTGACACGTGCAGTTCAGCACGTTTACTAAGACAACAGTAAAAACACAAAAACACGAGTTTTTTGAGGTGTTAACAGCAAAACTGCTATACCTTCCAGGTTTTTTGGCTTTCGGAGTATAGAAGGCCACATAATTTTAAACCGAAATTCGGTTGCAGGTTTATAGACATTTTGCATGCATGATGTGTTACGTAAAATAGTCCCGGAAATACTCGACAAGTACGATTTTTTTCGGTATTTACAGTGTTTTCGGCGTGCACTACTTGTTCACAAACGCGTGGAAGCAAGCAGAAGAGTAGTGTAGACAAGGAGGGTGTAGATCTGGGGGGGGGGGGGGGTGACCATATATATATACATAAACCCTAAACCCTGAACCCTGAACCCTAAACCCTAAACCCTAAATTAGGGATAATCCGAACCCCAGAATCCTTGAGCCATGAATCCCCCAAGGCGCGGTAACCTTTGTGTGGATGGCGCTGTGGCCAAGATTACGGGGAAGGAGGCCAGGAGCATATGTGTGTGTGTGTGTTTTTGTTGTCTAAGGGGTTTAGGGTTTAGGGTTTAGGGTTCAGGGTTTGGTGTTTCTATTTGCAAAAGTGCGGCGCTCCACCCCTGTCCCTTTGAACGGCTCGATGCATTTCCTGGCTTCGCATGGCTTGGGGCTCCAAGGACCTGTTCTGACCCTCCTCCCCACCTAACTTCTCCGCTTTTGTTTTGGGCTTTACATGCCCAGATACTCTTGATTGCAAGTGGGCGGGGCTGCCATTCTAAAGCCGAAATGGGGCTGACATGAACCCCACTATTGGGGTCGTATACCCGGTACTCATGATCCCTATGAAGGGTGGACCATAAACCCTCTTGGGGATCATTTGGTCCCCAGGGAATGGCTGCACCCACACCCCCCACTTGTTCAAGTTCTGCACGCCCGGATCATTCTTCTTGCCCCCCTCCCCCCCTGCTCCCCCCAAGCCCAGGTTTCTGAATAAGCCGCACATGCTTGGTTCCAAAAGTAGAATCTCCGGTGCTCTTTTGCACATCCGGGTTCCAAGATCCCCCTTATGCTGCACTAATACTGCGCATTCCCGCTTTTGGCAAGCGTCTTGGAGTCAATAAATCTTTCTTCTTTATTTTATGTATTTCTTTCTTCCGTCTTCCTTCATTCATTCATTCATGCATTCATTCATTCATTCTTTTATTTTTTTCTATGTTTATTTGCTTCTTTGTTTCTTGTACTGATTCTTTATTTATTTATATATTTGCTTCTTTCTTGCGTTCTTTATTTCTTTACTTCTTTCTTTCTTTCTTTATTTCTTTCTTTGTTTCTATCTTTCTTTCTGTCTTTCTTTCGCTCTCTCTTTCTTTCTTTCTTTCTTTCTTTCACTCTCTCCGCAAACGGGGGCGGGGCCGGGGGGCTTGGGCCCCTTGACCCGCCCTCCCAACTTGTTCGAAAGCAGGGCCGCAAACCTAAGAAACCTTCAACGCAAATTAGGGGAATCTTCGGGCTTCAGCCCCCCAGAAACCCAAAGCCCTGAGAGGCCGCAATTCCCTTTCCACCTTCTTGTCATACCCCTGAGCCTTCAACTCTAAACCCGATAAAGACAATCGACCCCAAACCCTAAACCCTAAACCCTACCAAACCCTCTTATCTTATTTGTTTGCCTGTCTGCACCGCTCCAGGGAACTTCCTTCACTGGCAAGGCGAACGTCTTTGACAGCGAGGCGCTTTCTGCCAGTCGGAACTGCTGGGCACAAGTGTTGGGGTTTGGGGGGTTCTGGCTGAACCCTAAACCCTAAACCCTAAACCCTAAACCCTACAGCCTTGGGGGGTTTCATGAAAGGAGTATATACTACACAGCTGCATGGGCCCTCAGGTTTAGAGTCCCGACTCAAGCGCCACCTTGGTGGTAGGGCTAAGTTAGGTTCCTTGAGCACCGGAACCCTGAGTAGAGCCCCGATCAAGCTCTGAGCGCCCAATAGAAGTCTTGTTTTATGAGCACCCAATAGAAGTCTTGTTTTATAGGACATCCCCACCTTAAGAAAGGGGCTCTACCATCCCAAAGAAGCACTTGTGGGAGGCCCCTTGCAGAGAATAGGACGGTAGACTGGGGTACCTTCGGACACCTCGCCCAGCTCTGACAAGCAACACACCGCAATGAAACACCACGTTTAGGGTTTAGGGTTTAGGGTTTAGGGCTTAGGGTTGTGTATTCATCTCATTCCTGCAAATGTAGTTGAAAGGGCAAAGGAAAAACAGCAACACAAGTACATGAATGGTAGCAACGCCATTTCTGTTGTTAAACTCGTCAAAACGAATAGCGCTGGTAATCGTCCTCATGCATAGGAAGGATCGCAGCGGTGGCAATAATTATGACAGTAGAAGAACATAGTCAAACCAACAGTAGTAATATGGCAATAACATGCTCGTCGTGTACATGGGTCGTTCTCTAAGACATTGTCCGTTTTGGGCTCCTTGTTTTTTAAGGGTGCCGTACTACACAGGGTACCAAAAGACTATAACTTAGAGAACTACCCTAAACCCTAAACCCTAAACCCTAAACCCTAAACCCTAAACCCTAAGAACTCTCCACAGGGAGACTTGAGGATTTGAAGTCCTCCTTAGAATTCAGACCTGCACCTCTTGAGAGCCTGAGGAGGCAATGCTGAAGGGCCTGGAGCAAGGCAAGATCAACAAGGCACGGGTTTAGGGGTGAGGGGTTTAGGGTTTAGGGGTTAGGGGTGTAGGGTTTAGGGTTTAGGGTTTAGGGTTTAGGGTTTAGGGTTTAGGGTTTAGGGCTTGCAGCAGCTCTAAGAACTAGAAGCCTTAATCCCTTCGACCATCTCCACTTTGCTCTGAGCTTTGGGGCAGAGGGGTTGAAATAAATAAACCTTGAGGACCAAATGAACCGTAAAATTGGGGGGGGGGGTCATATACCCTGTACTACTATAATCCCTATTAAGGTACTATGGAGCGATAGACCCTTTTAGGGTCCATTTAATCCCCAGGGAAGAGGACGCCGGCTGGGCCAGAGATCAACTTCCATGCTTGCGGGCTGTGCTGGGGGGGTTGAGAGGGCACCTTGGGCGTATAGCTGTGTAAGCTTAGTGTTTTTGGGGGCTGAAGGGTTAAGTTGTACGATTGTGTAGATGAACAGGGTTGAACAGGGTTTAGGGTTTATAGGGTTTAGGGTTTAGGGTTTAGGGTTTAGGGTGTGTTTTCGGTCACAGCTCTCTTTGGCCCTGCCGCGGCCCAGGGCGACTTCATCGTGATTCGTTATGAGGGCCCTAAGGGTGGCCCTGGTATCTTGGTAGCTGAGTGGTACCGTTTTGTCCGTTTTTTGGGGTTATTTATAACAGTAACCCACCCCAAAAAGCATGCCCTTAGTATTCTTAATGTTACTATTGGAATTATTTCTATTAATATGATTATTTCGAAGTATTTTAATTACTCTTATTCTTATGATATGGTTACTGGGCTACCAAAGGTATGCGCGAGATGCTGACTCCAACGCGCCTGCGCTGCAAGTCGGCGGGAGATGCGCACGAACTAGTGACTAGCGAACGCCATTTTGGGGATGTCCTGTGTAGGCAAGCCCAAATGAGCCCAATGCCCCTTAATTATGGAATATACCTTAATTTATGAAGGGATCCTGAATATGTGTTAAGGTCTATTCCTTCAGGGGTATTGGGGGTCTTTGGGAGCCTTGCATTGCTAGACGCCATCTCGAGGAGTGCCGTGATGGGTGCTGGCTTGGGAAAGCACGTGGCTTTGATGACGGACGGCCGCTTCTCTGGCGGTTCGCATGGCTTCATTATCGGCCACGTGTCTCCCGAAGCCGCTCACTCAGTGACGCGTGTCTGTGACCCTGCATAAAGCTGTCTACTTTGGGGACGAAAAGAACCCTAAAAGGGTTTATGGCTCATATACATTTCATAGGAATTACAGTAGTGTAGGTTTTATGACATCATTTTTAGGGTTCATGTCGTCCCCCAAGCTAATCAAGCCCATGTCTGTGAGTCGCTGTCAAGGATGCCACACTGTTTCCCTGAGGCCTTTGTGGGGGGAGCCATTGCTCTCATTCAGAACGGTGCCCTGTGTGCAATAGAGTCGGGCCATGGAGGGATGGAGCGGGAAAAGAACCGAAACCTAACCGCGATGGTTGCACCCTGGGATGTTCCTCCTTTATACTAGCAGTCCTTCATAGGGATCAGAGTACCCCCCTATGATCATCCCCTATGAAGGAGCTGTTAGTATAAGTTGGAACATCTGGAACATCCCAAGTTGCATCTTCCAGCAGGTGACATGATTACCGTGGACGCGAACAAGCTGCAGCTCACCATGGACGTCTCGGATGAGGAGTTGGCAAAGCGCAAAGCTGCATGGAAGCCGCCCCCGCCCAATGCCCCTCGTCAGGGGATTCCTTCCAAAGCTCAAAACCACATGAACCCTAGAATTGTCATATATCCCTGTGCAATGAAATTCCCTATATTCAGGTATATGGACCGCAACAACTCTTTTAAGGTTCATCTAGGATGCCCAGTAGTACCCTTATTCCCTTTTTTTTTTTTGGGGGGGGGTTTAGGTTTCGCAGAGAAGGGCACTCTTTTTTTTACTCCTATGTCATGTAGTCCACAAGGTTATATATATATATATACTTAGTAGCTGAGTGAGTACACTTTACACTTTTGGGGATTCTTTCACCCCCTCTCGAACTGAAAGTGTACACTTTTTGGGGGCTGATGAACGCAGCAACTAAGTATAGAGAGTTGGACAGCTTCATGGCAAATTCCACCCTAAACCCTAAACCCTACACCCTACACCCTAAACCCTAAACCCTAAACCCTAAACCCTAAACCCTAAACCCTAAACCCTAAACCCTGACCAAGGTGAAGACGGGATACCTCGCCAAGTATGCGAAGTGGCCTGGCTGGGGTCACTCCTACTTGGAGGTTTAGGGTTTGGGGTTTAGGGTTTAGGGTTTAGGGTTTGGGGTTTGGGGTTTGGGGTTTAGGGTTTAGGGTTTAGTATAACTATACGTATATAAGCCCCCTGAGTCCTCTAAGTAGGTTGTAAGTAGACTTATAACTGTGGTTCTAAGTACCCATGAACCTCAAGTAGCTTTAAGAAGGGTTTAGGGTCTACAGGGGTAGGTTTTGAACGTAACCTTCTTACCCTGATTCCCCTCTTATCAAGCCATAACATTTCCATAGGGCCCCCAAACTCCTCAACCCTAAACCCTAAGCCTAACCCCTAAACCCTAAACCCTAAACCCTAGTTTGGGGGTTGCGCTCTCTCTTTTTTTGCAGTTGAACCCTTCAAGGCTGGTTACGTCGGCAAGCCTTGGCTGCGTGACGGATCGGTCCCTCGGGGGCGAAAGGAACCCTATTAGGGTTTAGGGTTTAGGGTTTTTAGGGTTTTTAGGGTTGTTAGGGTTTTTAGGGTTTTTAGGGTTTTTAGGGTTTTTAGGGTTTTTAGGGTTTAGGGTTTAGGGATGTTTAGGGTGTATGGTTCATATTACCTTAATGGGAGTTTTAGGAGTGTAGGGTAGACGACCCCAATTTTCGGGGTTCATGTGGTCTCCAAGGTAGAGATGGGCTGATCGCTACCCGCGGTATGGGTCCAGCATTTGATGCAAAGAGATGTCGCACTGGACCCGTGGCTTGGCGAGGAAGTTGAACTGCAAGATGCCAATGTGCTGGGATGGCCTCCCTTGACTCTAAGGTTTAGGGTTTAGGGTTTAGGGTTTAGGGTTTAGGGTTTAGGGTTTAGGGTTTAGGCTCCCTTGACCCTAAACCCTAAACCCTAAACTACTAGGATCCTGTTCACGGCACCCTGAGGTTTGCAGGGTGGGCCACATGGCCGGCGCGGCCAGGACGGGTTCTGGGTTTCCGGTGAACCTCAGCCCCGAGACAGGGGGTTTAGGGTTTAGGGTTTAGGGTTTAGGGTTTAGGATAAAACCCCTCCCCCTGGATTTCTGGTTCATATACCTGAAAATCGGGATTATAGTAGTATAGGGTATATGCCTCCAATTATAGGTTTCATTTGGTCCTTAAGGGGTCGAGGAACTCGTTTGGGTCACAGCTTTGTCACTTTGGAGCATCTTTGGGTCTATTTGTTGAGAGAAGCTTCAACGTCGAACTCCTACACACCTGAGCGCAGTTCCCAAGCCCTAAAGCCTTAAACACTTCGGCCTGCTGCATAAGCTCTATAAGCACATGGGCCAGACTCGAGGGTAGAACGTATGGCGGTTGCCTTCAAGTCAGGTCCCCATGCAGATACTTCAGGATCCCCAAAAGGGTGCCCCCCCCCCCCCTTTTGGAACGATCCCTTGATGATGCACTTGATGGGCCGAGCAGAGGAAGCTCTCAGTCTTTGGTGGAAGTGAGTGATCGAGCTCTTGTTCTCCTCACCTTGCCTTGTGGCAATCGGTGTCTCTTGGACCTAGGGCACTGAGAGCATGTACAGAGAAAGAGCGGAACGATGGTCAAAATGCGGCCGGGCTCGTGCCAGATCTCTTGAGCTGCCGGCAGTGTCGGCTACTAAATGGCTAACGTTGGTATAATGATCTGTTCTCCAGGTACGGTCCCCTGTTGGGTACCCTAAAAACCCTAAACCCTAAACCCTAAACATTATAGGGGCCGCCTTAGAGTATCCCTTTTTCGAATCGAGAGAGCTCGCCGTAGGGACTTCCCGGTCGCACAGGGCCCACAGAATTGGCGGGGCTAACGTTTGGGAGCTTGTTTTCTTTTTGCTTTGGTCCTGATTCAGGGCTTGGGGTCGTCAAATCACACTTCTTCTAAACCTTTGAAGCCTAAGCCCACATCCCTTTTCAACCCCGTAATCCCTGTAAACCCTAGACCCACGTCCTAGATCCCAAACCCTTATAGCTCTATTCTAACGCTAAAGCCTGATCCCTCGAAGAAACATGCAAGCTTCAGCCAGCTACATGACCCAGGCGCCGGCGCCTCTCGCTGTCGCTCTATGCGTCTTTGCAGTCGCGCAAGGTGAGCCTTCCCGTTTAGGGTTTAGGAAGTTGGGGAGGGGTGGGGTGAGGTGAGGGTAGGCGTCTTTTTTTTGGGCGTGCCCTTAGGAAACACTTCTTGTGTTGAAGTTGTATGTTTGTATAAAAAACCTGTCATGCTAGCTGACGCAAATGAGAGTAGAGTGACAGTAGCGATGGGAGTCGCAAGAGGTATTTCACTGGTCTGAAGATAGCAAAGCTTCTTGCAGCGTCTGCGGCTCAGCCACACAGAGCGAGCAACATATTCTGAACTGCAATCAGAAACGGTTCGGGTTGTTTACCTTCGGGTCTCATCTCAGAACGGCTATAGATCCCATCGCCGGGGCCAGTGTGGGCCAGGCCATGAGGCCCTGTGAAAGGGCTGCTTGTCGGCACTGTGGGCTTCGAGTGGGCCTCTTCGGAGTGAATGGGTTGGGGTTTGCGCGGCGCTGGCATGAGGCCAGGTGCTCTTCCCGCTCCAGTGCCTGCACGTCTACACCTACAACTACAGAGGCACCTCCTCCTGACCCTGCTGAAATGGCCACGGGCAGAGACCTGATTCCACAGGTCGACTGCAACGTGGACGTGCGAAACCTCTCATTGGAGGCCATGATTCAGACGCTGTTCATGTCACGGGACGACCTTCTCAAGCTGCAGGAAGTGAACCCGGAGCTATTCCGGGAGGTCCTGAATTATGTGGTGGTCACCTGGCGCCCCGGGGCCTTCTCCGGAGCCCCGCTGCGCCCAGCTTTGGGGCTGGGTCCGGGTCGTGACGACGCCACCGTCGTCGTTAGGGCCTTTGTGCCCGCCCTCCGAGCCATTATTGAGCAGCACGTATCCATAGAGTGCCTGGACAACCAATTTGTGAAGTCTGCGCAATATGACGAGATGGTGGATTTTGGGGAGGACCTGCACGAGGTCGCTTTGCAGAGATGCCTGCAGCTTCAGCAGGTAGCGTGCCGACCTGGGTCCGCGGTAGCAAGCCGTGGGGGTGGTTAAACCACCCCAGTCGCCCGCGTTGTCCAAGACATCGGACGGGAGTTTCACCGGACAATCCGTGAGCACTGAACAAATACCGCGCTAAGGAAAATTGCAGGAGCAGCATGTACTAAGCAGGCCCTGCACTCCAGCCGTGGCAAAAGCCCTAAGTCCCCAAACGGTCCTCGAGCTTCAATACTCTTGACCTACGGAAGGGGCTCTGGGCATGCTGGGTCCTGGTCCCTCGAAAGAAACAAGCTTCAGCCAACCTGAACCCTAAACCCTAAACCCTAAACCCTGCCTTGAACCTTTGAACCCGACCTCCAGCATCGGATCGTTGTAGGTCGCCCGGAGTGCCGCCGCTGCGCCGTTCAGTCAGCGGCCGAGGGGGTGAGGGTTTAGGGTTAAGGAGAATGGGGATCAGGGTTTTCAGGTTTAGGGGTTTAGGTTTTGGCGGTTTTGGGGTTTTAGGGTTTATGAAGTAACCCTCGGGTTTAGGCGTTTAGGCTTGTAATAGCATGTTGTGGGGGGGGGGGGGGGGGGTGATTTGTGCTTATAGGTGTTGAGCGGTTCAGGAGTTGGGGAATTCGGGTTGAGTTAGGGTTTGGGCGTAGGTGCTTGGTATGGCTTGACAGTGGAGCGCCGGTCTTGTCAGCTCACGAAAGCACGGTGCCCGTTTTGATTGGGGTACTGTACCCCAGAAGCCCTATAGCCTCATTCGTACGAAAGCCCGAAACAAGTTTGGGGTTTAGGGTCCGGAAAATGGTGCGGGGGGCGGGGGGGGGGGATAAACCAAATCCCCCGGGTTCTCTATACGAGGAGCCAGAAGCCTAAACCCCATTTGTTTATAAATATGGATCCCGGTAATGTGCCTAAGCTGCATCGAAAGGCCCTTTGAAAGCCCTGGTGGGGGTGTCCCGTTTTGTGGAGGTAGGAGAGGTTTGGGGTTTAGGGTTTAGGGTTCAGGGTTTAGGGTTTAGGGTTTAGCTTGGCTGGGCTTAGGAGTTTAGGCGTTCAGGGTTCCAATCGCCGAGGACTTGTCCGACCGAAGCCGGTGATGCAGGCGATCCTGCAGTAGAAAACCCCCCAAGGGTGAACCATCGACCTCGACCACCCTCGTAAACCCCAACACCACCCCAACAAAGCCCAACCAAGCTTCCCTAAACCTGTTTGGGTCGAGGGGCTTAGGGTTAGGGCCCGCGCCCGAGGCGATCTTGTCCACTGACCTTGTCCGACCGAAGCCAGTGATGCAGGCACTCGAAAGTTCAGGGAACTAAGAACAAGAGGCTATCAGGGCTCTTTATATAGGGCTGAGAGGGTATGGGTTTCGGAGTTTGGTTCAGGGTTGTAGGGCCTCTGGACGTTTCGGCAGGTGCTGGGGATGTTTGCTATGTCTCCCTTGTGCTGGGCCCGATAGGGCCCTATCTGGGAGGTATAAGCGGGGTCTAGCCAACAGTCTCAGTTAAACAAATCCTCAATCTAGCCTGGCTCCTCGCTTTAAGTGCCCTGAGCCCTTGAGAGCACTTTGAGATTTCGTGGCTCCTTTCTGATAGTTCGGATTGTCTGCTGCGGTGGAGTCCCTGCCATGCTAGTTGCAAACCTTAAGCCCTAAACCCTGAACCCTACACCTGTAGTGTGCAGGTGCAGCCCGTGGCCCCTTCCCCTTGGCAGCCTTGTCCTTCGGACCGTACTGGGGCATAGCTGTGAAAGCCATGTCAAGCTGATGCAGCACCTTCGGCTTAGCCAAGCAGTGTGAGCAAGCAATCAGACATGGCTTACATCCAAAGACAACAGCTATATAGGCTGTAGGTCCCACCACCGGGGGCCAGCCACCCTGAAACCAAGATTCCTTTCCAAGGGGTTTGAGCGCTATGAGGCCCTGTGAAAGGGCCGCTTGCTGCCACTGCGGCCTTCGACTCGGACTCTTCGGAGTGAATGGACTGAGCGTGGCACGCCGCGTGCCAACGGCGCGTGACCCTGAGCCCATTCACTCCCAAGAGTCCAACTCGAAGACCGCAGTGGCGGCAAGCGGCCCTGCTGGCCTAGGCAAAGACCTTGCAGGAGCTGGATGCGGTTCATGACCAGAGAGGACCTGCGCGCGGCGAACGCAGAGGTCTGCTGAGAGGTGCTGAACTATGCGGTGGTAACCCCACTGCGCCCCGGGTTCCGAGTGGTGACATGAGCGTGTCATGAAATCTCAGTGGACGGCCAGGACTTGAGTGAGGTCGCCCTGGAGAGATGCAGCTTCCCTGGCGTCCGGTAGCAAGCCGTGGGGGTCGTGAACGTACCCAAGTCGCCCGCGCTGTCCAAGACACTTGACGGGAGGTTTACCGGACAAGTTTTGTGAGCACTGAGCTACCATTGCGCGAGCCACATTGCAGAAGCAGCATGTGCTAAGCAGGTCCTGAACATCCCTGAGCCGTCACGAGCCCTAAATGCCTAAACGGTCCGAGAACTGCACTCTAGACCTTTAAGCCCTGCCGCTGGGTGAGAAGCCCCGCTGGGTTCTTGTTCCCTCGGAGAGAGAAGCTTCAGTCAGCTAACCCCAAACTCGAGATGCCTAAGTGGGTCATGAAACACTTCATCCCAAATCGACACGGCGTATTACCTCCTAAACATGGGCCCTTTGACACTCATGTTTGACTATTCGGGTCCTTATTCGGGTCCTGATTCAGGGGTTGGGGGAAACAAGTAACCCTTGTTCTAGACACTTGAAGCCTAAGCCCAAAACCCTGTGAACGCTGAAGCTTAATCCCCTGGAAGAAGCAAGCTTCAGCCATGACCCAGGCGCCGGCGCCTCTCGCTGTTGCTCTCGGCGACTTCGCAGACATGCAAGGTGAATCTGCCCGTTGAGCGTTTAGGAAGTACGGGGCGCGGGAGGGGGGCGGGGGGGGGAGGGGGGTTGTTAGGAAGTTGGGGGTTTCGAGCTTTGGGTTGATCCTTTACCTGTGTTTTGAGGGTCAAAGTTTCGGCTTAAGACTTCATGGTTTGGGTGCCTAGTCTTCAGGGTCGACAGCCAGCCTCGGGCGTTGTCCTCGCTCTTGTAGGGCAATGTCAGACAACTGGAAATGCATGCAAGAAGAGTGACCTTAGCAAATTCATGTTGCATCTTTCTATGCAACCTCAGGAAAGGAATTCGTCGTTGTGGCGCGGCAACACACATCAGAGTAGAGTGACACTAGCGATGGCAGGTGGTGTTTCATGGGGCTGAAGGTAGCGAGAGTTTCTTGCAGCGTCTGCGGCTCAGCCACACAGAGCGAGCAACATATCTTCAACTGCAGGTTAGGGCTGTTTACCTTCGGGTCTCATCTCAGAACAGCTATAGATCCCATCGCCGGGGCCAGTGTGGGCCAGGCCATGAGGCCCTGTGAAAGGGCTGCTTGTCGGCACTGTGGGCTTCGAGTGGGCCTCTTCGGAGTGAATGGGTTGGGGTTCACGCGGCGCTGGCATGAGGCCAGGTGCTCTTCCCGCTCCAGTGCCTGCACGTCTACACCTACAACTACAGAGGCACCTCCTCCTGACACCGCTGAGATGGCCACGGGCAGAAACCTGCTTCCACAGGTCGATTACAACGTGGACGTGCAAAACCTCTCACTGGAGGCCATGATTCAGACGCTGTTCATGTCCCGGGACGACCTTCTCAAGCTGCACGAAGTGAACCCGGAGCTATTCCGGGAGGTCCTGAATTATGTGGTGGTCACCTGGCGCCCCGGGGCCTTCTCCGGAGCCCCGCTGCGCCCAGCCTTGGGGCTGGGTCCGGGTCGTGACGACGCCACCGTCGTCGTTAGGGCCTTTGTGCCCGCCCTCCGAGCCATTTGTGAGCAGCACGTATCCATAGAGTGCCTGGACAACCAATTTGTGAAGTCTGCGCAATATGACGAGATGGTGGATTTTGGGGAGGACCTGCGTGAGGTCGCTTTGCAGAGATGCCTGCAGCTTCAGCAGGTAGCGTGCCGACCTGGGTCCGCGGTAGCAAGCCGTGGGGGTGGTTAAACCACCCCAGTCGCCCGCGTTGTCCAAGACATCGGACGGGAGTTTCACCGGACAATCCGTGAGCACTGAACAAATACCGCGCTAAGGAAAATTGCAGGAGCAGCATGTACTAAGCAGGCCCTGCACTCCAGCCGTGGCAAAAGCCCTAAGTCCCCAAACGGTCCTCGAGCTTCAATACTCTTGACCTACGGAAGGGGCTCTGGGCATGCTGGGTCCTGGTCCCTCGAAAGAAACAAGCTTCAGCCAACCTGAACCCTAAACCCTAAACCCTAAACCCTGCCTTGAACCTTTGAACCCGACCTCCAGCATCGGATCGTTGTAGGTCGCCCGGAGTGCCGCCGCTGCGCCGTTCAGTCAGCGGCCGAGGGGGTGAGGGTTTAGGGTTAAGGAGAATGGGGATCAGGGTTTTCAGGTTTAGGGGTTTAGGTTTTGGCGGTTTTGGGGTTTTAGGGTTTATGAAGTAACCCTCGGGTTTAGGCGTTTAGGCTTGTAATAGCATGTTGTGGGGGGGGGGGGGGGGGGTGATTTGTGCTTATAGGTGTTGAGCGGTTCAGGAGTTGGGGAATTCGGGTTGAGTTAGGGTTTGGGCGTAGGTGCTTGGTATGGCTTGACAGTGGAGCGCCGGTCTTGTCAGCTCACGAAAGCACGGTGCCCGTTTTGATTGGGGTACTGTACCCCAGAAGCCCTATAGCCTCATTCGTACGAAAGCCCGAAACAAGTTTGGGGTTTAGGGTCCGGAAAATGGTGCGGGGGGCGGGGGGGGGGGATAAACCAAATCCCCCGGGTTCTCTATACGAGGAGCCAGAAGCCTAAACCCCATTTGTTTATAAATATGGATCCCGGTAATGTGCCTAAGCTGCATCGAAAGGCCCTTTGAAAGCCCTGGTGGGGGTGTCCCGTTTTGTGGAGGTAGGAGAGGTTTGGGGTTTAGGGTTTAGGGTTCAGGGTTTAGGGTTTAGGGTTTAGCTTGGCTGGGCTTAGGAGTTTAGGCGTTCAGGGTTCCAATCGCCGAGGACTTGTCCGACCGAAGCCGGTGATGCAGGCGATCCTGCAGTAGAAAACCCCCCAAGGGTGAACCATCGACCTCGACCACCCTCGTAAACCCCAACACCACCCCAACAAAGCCCAACCAAGCTTCCCTAAACCTGTTTGGGTCGAGGGGCTTAGGGTTAGGGCCCGCGCCCGAGGCGATCTTGTCCACTGACCTTGTCCGACCGAAGCCAGTGATGCAGGCACTCGAAAGTTCAGGGAACTAAGATGAAGAGGCTATCAGGGCTCTTTATATAGGGCTGAGAGGGTATGGGGTTCGGACTGCGGGTTTCGGAGTTTGGTTCAGGGTTGTAGGGCCTCTGGACGTTTCGGCAGGTGCTGGGGATGTTTGCTATGTCTCCCTTGTGCTGGGCCCGATAGGGCCCTATCTGGGAGGTATAAGCGGGGTCTAGCCAACAGTCTCAGTTAAACAAATCCTCAATCTAGCCTGGCTCCTCGCTTTAAGTGCCCTGAGCCCTTGAGAGCACTTTGAGATTTCGTGGCTCCTTTCTGATAGTTCGGATTGTCTGCTGCGGTGGAGTCCCTGCCATGCTAGTTGCAAACCTTAAGCCCTAAACCCTGAACCCTACACCTGTAGTGTGCAGGTGCAGCCCGTGGCCCCTTCCCCTTGGCAGCCTTGTCCTTCGGACCGTACTGGGGCATAGCTGTGAAAGCCATGTCAAGCTGATGCAGCACCTTCGGCTCAGCCAAGCAGTGTGAGCAAGCAATCAGACATGGCTTACATCCAAAGACAACAGCTATATAGGCTATAGGTCCCACCATCGGGGGCCAGCCACCCTGAAACCAAGATTCCTTTCCAAGGGGTTTGAGCGCTATGAGGCCCTGTGAAAGGGCCGCTTGCTGCCACTGCGGCCTTCGACTCGGACTCTTCGGAGTGAATGGACTGAGCGTGGCACGCCGCGTGCCAACGGCGCGTGACCCTGAGCCCATTCACTCCGAAGAGTCCAACTCGAAGCCCGCAGTGGCGGCAAGCGGCCCTGCTGGCCTAGGCAAAGACCTTGCAGGAGCTGCCTCTGGATGCGGTTCATGACCAGAGAGGACCTGCGCGCGGCGAACGCAGAGGTCTGCTGAGAGGTGCTGAACTATGTGGTGGTAACCCCACTGCGCCCCGGCCCTGGGGCTGGTTCCGAGTGGTGACATGAGCGTGTCATGAAATCTCAGTGGACGGCCAGGACTTGAGTGAGGTCGCCCTGGAGAGATGCAGCTTCCCTGGCGTCCGGTAGCAAGCCGTGGGGGTCGTGAACGTACCCAAGTCGCCCGCGCTGTCCAAGACACTTGACGGGAGGTTTACCGGACAAGTTTTGTGAGCACTGAGCTACCATTGCGCGAGCCACATTGCAGAAGCAGCATGTGCTAAGCAGGTCCTGAACATCCCTGAGCCGTCACGAGCCCTAAATGCCTAAACGGTCCGAGAACTGCACTCTAGACCTTTAAGCCCTGCCGCTGGGTGAGAAGCCCCGCTGGGTTCTTGTTCCCTCGGAGAGAGAAGCTTCAGTCAGCTAACCCCAAACTCGAGATGCCTAAGTGGGTCATGAAACACTTCATCCCAAATCGACACGGCGTATTACCTCCTAAACATGGGCCCTTTGACACTCATGTTTGACTATTCGGGTCCTTATTCGGGTCCTGATTCAGGGGTTGGGGGAAACAAGTAACCCTTGTTCTAGACACTTGAAGCCTAAGCCCAAAACCCTGTGAACGCTGAAGCTTAATCCCCTGGAAGAAGCAAGCTTCAGCCATGACCCAGGCGCCGGCGCCTCTCGCTGTTGCTCTCGGCGACTTCGCAGACATGCAAGGTGAATCTGCCCGTTGAGCGTTTAGGAAGTACGGGGCGCGGGAGGGGGGCGGGGGGGGGAGGGGGGTTGTTAGGAAGTTGGGGGTTTCGAGCTTTGGGTTGATCCTTTACCTGTGTTTTGAGGGTCAAAGTTTCGGCTTAAGACTTCATGGTTTGGGTGCCTAGTCTTCAGGGTCGACAGCCAGCCTCGGGCGTTGTCCTCGCTCTTGTAGGGCAATGTCAGACAACTGGAAATGCATGCAAGAAGAGTGACCTTAGCAAATTCATGTTGCATCTTTCTATGCAACCTCAGGAAAGGAATTCGTCGTTGTGGCGCGGCAACACACATCAGAGTAGAGTGACACTAGCGATGGCAGGTGGTGTTTCATGGGGCTGAAGGTAGCGAGAGTTTCTTGCAGCGTCTGCGGCTCAGCCACACAGAGCGAGCAACATATCTTCAACTGCAGGTTAGGGCTGTTTACCTTCGGGTCTCATCTCAGAACAGCTATAGATCCCATCGCCGGGGCCAGTGTGGGCCAGGCCATGAGGCCCTGTGAAAGGGCTGCTTGTCGGCACTGTGGGCTTCGAGTGGGCCTCTTCGGAGTGAATGGGTTGGGGTTCACGCGGCGCTGGCATGAGGCCAGGTGCTCTTCCCGCTCCAGTGCCTGCACGTCTACACCTACAACTACAGAGGCACCTCCTCCTGACACCGCTGAGATGGCCACGGGCAGAAACCTGCTTCCACAGGTCGATTACAACGTGGACGTGCAAAACCTCTCACTGGAGGCCATGATTCAGACGCTGTTCATGTCCCGGGACGACCTTCTCAAGCTGCACGAAGTGAACCCGGAGCTATTCCGGGAGGTGCTGAATCATGTGGTGGTCACCTGGCGCCCCGGGGCCTTCTCCGGAGCCCCGCTGCGCCCAGCTTTGGGGCTGGGTCCGGGTCGTGACGACGCCACCGTCGTCGTTAGGGCCTTTGTGCCCGCCCTCCGAGACATTTGTGAGCAGCACGTATCCCTAGAGTGCCTGGACAATCAACTTGTGAAGTCTGCGCAATATGACGAGATGGTGGATTTTGGGGAGGACCTGCGCGAGGTCGCTTTGCAGAGATGCCTGCAGCTGCAGCAGGTAGCACGCCGACTGGGGTCGGGGTGTGCAAGCCGTGGGGGTGGTTAAACCACCCCAGTCGCCCGCGTTGTCCAAGACATCTGACGGGAGTTTCACCGGACAAGTTCCGTGAGCAATGAACAAATACCGCGCTAAGGAAAATTGCAGGAGCAGCATGTACTAAGCAGTCCCTGCACTCCAGCTGTGGCAAAAGCCCTAAGTCCCCAAACGGTCCTCGAGCTTTAATACGGCAAGGGCTCTGGGCATGCTGGGTCCTGGTCCCTCGAAGAAACAAGCTTCAGCCAACCTGAACCCTAAACCCTACACCCCTAAACCCTGCCTTGAACCTTTGAACCCGACCTCCAGCATCGGATCGTTGTAGGTCGCCTGGAGTGCCGTCGCTGCGCCGTTCAGTCAGCGGCCGAGGGGGTGAGGGTTTAGGGTTAAGGAGAATGGGGTTCAGGGTTTTCAGGTTTAGGGGTTTAGGTTTTGGCGGTTTTGGGGTTTTAGGGTTTATGAAGTAACCCTCTAGGGTTTAGGCGTTTAGGCTTGTAATAGCATGTTGTGGGGGGGGGGGGGGGGGGTGATTTGTGCTTTCAGGTGTTGAGCGGTTCAGGAGTTGGGGAATTCGGGTTGAGTTAGGGTTTGGGCGTATAGGTGCTTGGTATGGCTTCGGCTTGACGGTGGAGCGCCGGTCTTGTCAGCTCACGAAAGCACGGTGCCCGTTTTGATTGGGGTACTGTACCCCAGAAGCCCTATAGCCTCTTTCGTACGCAAGCCCGAACGAATTTGGGGTTTAGGGTCCGGAAAAGTTTCGTCCGCTCCCTTCGTCCGGGGGGGGGGGATAGAAACCAAATCCTAATCCCGGGTTCTCTATACGAGGAGCCAGAACCCTAAACCCCAGCTTACGGGTCCATTTTTTTGTGCTTTGCTTATAAATATGGATCCCGGCAATGTGCCTAAACTGCATCGAAAGGCCTTTTGAAAGCCCTGATATCCGGGGTGTCCCGTTTTGGGGAGGGACCTTGAGACAAGGAAGCGTAAGCTCTGAAATCGGAGGGCCCTTTCTTCCGGGCAGGAATCCTAGAAGCTTCCCTCAACCCTTGGCTGGGCTTAGGAGTTTAGGCGTTCAGGGTTCCAATCGCCGAGGACTTGTCCGACCGAAGCCGGTGATGCAGGCGATTCTGCAGTAGAAAACCCCGAAGGGTGAACCATCGCCCTCGACCGCCCTCGTAAACCCCAACACCACCCCGACAAAGCCCAACCAAGCTTCCCGAAACCTGTTTGGTCGAGGGGCTTAGGGTTAGGGCCCGCGCCCGAGGCGATCTTTGCCACTGACCTTGTCCGACCGAAGCCAGTGATGCAGGCACTCGAAAGTTCAGGGAACTAAGATGAAGAGGCTATCAGGGCTCTTTATAGGGCTTAGAGGGTATGGGGTTCGGACTGCGGGTTTCGGAGTTTGGTTCAGGGGTTGTAGAGCCTCTGGACGTTTCGGCAGGTGCTGGGGATGTTTGCTATGTCTCCCTTATGCTGGGCCCGATAGGGCCCTATCTGGGAGGTATAAGCGGGGTCTAGCCAACAGTCTCAGTTAAACAAATCCTCAATCTAGCCTGGCTCCTCGCTTTAAGTGCCCTGAGCCCTTGAGAGCACTTTGAGATTTCGTGGCTCCTTTCTGATAGTTCGGATTGTCTGCTGTGGTGGCATCCCTGCCATGCTAGTTGCAAACCTTAAGCCCTAAACCCTGAACCCTACACCTGTAGTGTGCAGGTGCAGCCCGTGGCCCCTTCCCCTTGGCAGCCTTGTCCTTCGGACCGTACTGGGGCATAGCTGTGAAAGCCATGTCAAGCTGATGCAGCACCTTCGGCTCAGCCAAGCAGTGTGAGCAAGCAATCAGACATGGCTTACATCCAAAGACAACAGCTATATAGGCTATAGGTCCCACCATCGGGGGCCAGCCACCCTGAAACCAAGATTCCTTTCCAAGGGGTTTGAGCGCTATGAGGCCCTGTGAAAGGGCCGCTTGCTGCCACTGCGGCCTTCGACTCGGACTCTTCGGAGTGAATGGACTGAGCGTGGCACGCCGCGTGCCAACGGCGCGTGACCCTGAGCCCATTCACTCCGAAGAGTCCAACTCGAAGCCCGCAGTGGCGGCAAGCGGCCCTGCTGGCCTAGGCAAAGACCTTGCAGGAGCTGCCTCTGGATGCGGTTCATGACCAGAGAGGACCTGCGCGCGGCGAACGCAGAGGTCTGCTGAGAGGTGCTGAACTATGTGGTGGTAACCCCACTGCGCCCCGGCCCTGGGGCTGGTTCCGAGTGGTGACATGAGCGTGTCATGAAATCTCAGTGGACGGCCAGGACTTGAGTGAGGTCGCCCTGGAGAGATGCAGCTTCCCTGGCGTCCGGTAGCAAGCCGTGGGGGTCGTGAACGTACCCAAGTCGCCCGCGCTGTCCAAGACACTTGACGGGAGGTTTACCGGACAAGTTTTGTGAGCACTGAGCTACCATTGCGCGAGCCACATTGCAGAAGCAGCATGTGCTAAGCAGGTCCTGAACATCCCTGAGCCGTCACGAGCCCTAAATGCCTAAACGGTCCGAGAACTGCACTCTAGACCTTTAAGCCCTGCCGCTGGGTGAGAAGCCCCGCTGGGTTCTTGTTCCCTCGGAGAGAGAAGCTTCAGTCAGCTAACCCCAAACTCGAGATGCCTAAGTGGGTCATGAAACACTTCATCCCAAATCGACACGGCGTATTACCTCCTAAACATGGGCCCTTTGACACTCATGTTTGACTATTCGGGTCCTTATTCGGGTCCTGATTCAGGGGTTGGGGGAAACAAGTAACCCTTGTTCTAGACACTTGAAGCCTAAGCCCAAAACCCTGTGAACGCTGAAGCTTAATCCCCTGGAAGAAGCAAGCTTCAGCCATGACCCAGGCGCCGGCGCCTCTCGCTGTTGCTCTCGGCGACTTCGCAGACATGCAAGGTGAATCTGCCCGTTGAGCGTTTAGGAAGTACGGGGCGCGGGAGGGGGGCGGGGGGGGGAGGGGGGTTGTTAGGAAGTTGGGGGTTTCGAGCTTTGGGTTGATCCTTTACCTGTGTTTTGAGGGTCAAAGTTTCGGCTTAAGACTTCATGGTTTGGGTGCCTAGTCTTCAGGGTCGACAGCCAGCCTCGGGCGTTGTCCTCGCTCTTGTAGGGCAATGTCAGACAACTGGAAATGCATGCAAGAAGCGTGACCTTAGCAAATTCATGTTGCATCTTTCTATGCAACCTCAGGAAAGGAATTCGTCGTTGTGGCGCGGCAACACACATCAGAGTAGAGTGACACTAGCGATGGCAGGTGGTGTTTCATGGGGCTGAAGGTAGCGAGAGTTTCTTGCAGCGTCTGCGGCTCAGCCACACAGAGCGAGCAACATATCTTCAACTGCAGGTTAGGGCTGTTTACCTTCGGGTCTCATCTCAGAACAGCTATAGATCCCATCGCCGGGGCCAGTGTGGGCCAGGCCATGAGGCCCTGTGAAAGGGCTGCTTGTCGGCACTGTGGGCTTCGAGTGGGCCTCTTCGGAGTGAATGGGTTGGGGTTCACGCGGCGCTGGCATGAGGCCAGGTGCTCTTCCCACTCCAGTGCCTGCACGTCTACACCTACAACTACAGAGGCACCTCCTCCTGACACCGCTGAGATGGCCACGGGCAGAAACCTGCTTCCACAGGTCGATTACAACGTGGACGTGCAAAACCTCTCACTGGAGGCCATGATTCAGACGCTGTTCATGTCCCGGGACGACCTTCTCAAGCTGCACGAAGTGAACCCGGAGCTATTCCGGGAGGTCCTGAATTATGTGGTGGTCACCTGGCGCCCCGGGGCCTTCTCCGGAGCCCCGCTGCGCCCAGCCTTGGGGCTGGGTCCGGGTCGTGACGACGCCACCGTCGTCGTTAGGGCCTTTGTGCCCGCCCTCCGAGCCATTTGTGAGCAGCACGTATCCATAGAGTGCCTGGACAACCAATTTGTGAAGTCTGCGCAATATGACGAGATGGTGGATTTTGGGGAGGACCTGCGTGAGGTCGCTTTGCAGAGATGCCTGCAGCTTCAGCAGGTAGCGTGCCGACCTGGGTCCGCGGTAGCAAGCCGTGGGGGTGGTTAAACCACCCCAGTCGCCCGCGTTGTCCAAGACATCGGACGGGAGTTTCACCGGACAATCCGTGAGCACTGAACAAATACCGCGCTAAGGAAAATTGCAGGAGCAGCATGTACTAAGCAGGCCCTGCACTCCAGCCGTGGCAAAAGCCCTAAGTCCCCAAACGGTCCTCGAGCTTCAATACTCTTGACCTACGGAAGGGGCTCTGGGCATGCTGGGTCCTGGTCCCTCGAAAGAAACAAGCTTCAGCCAACCTGAACCCTAAACCCTAAACCCTAAACCCTGCCTTGAACCTTTGAACCCGACCTCCAGCATCGGATCGTTGTAGGTCGCCCGGAGTGCCGCCGCTGCGCCGTTCAGTCAGCGGCCGAGGGGGTGAGGGTTTAGGGTTAAGGAGAATGGGGATCAGGGTTTTCAGGTTTAGGGGTTTAGGTTTTGGCGGTTTTGGGGTTTTAGGGTTTATGAAGTAACCCTCGGGTTTAGGCGTTTAGGCTTGTAATAGCATGTTGTGGGGGGGGGGGGGGGGGGTGATTTGTGCTTATAGGTGTTGAGCGGTTCAGGAGTTGGGGAATTCGGGTTGAGTTAGGGTTTGGGCGTAGGTGCTTGGTATGGCTTGACAGTGGAGCGCCGGTCTTGTCAGCTCACGAAAGCACGGTGCCCGTTTTGATTGGGGTACTGTACCCCAGAAGCCCTATAGCCTCATTCGTACGAAAGCCCGAAACAAGTTTGGGGTTTAGGGTCCGGAAAATGGTGCGGGGGGCGGGGGGGGGGGATAAACCAAATCCCCCGGGTTCTCTATACGAGGAGCCAGAAGCCTAAACCCCATTTGTTTATAAATATGGATCCCGGTAATGTGCCTAAGCTGCATCGAAAGGCCCTTTGAAAGCCCTGGTGGGGGTGTCCCGTTTTGTGGAGGTAGGAGAGGTTTGGGGTTTAGGG